AGCCACGACGATCGAATCCGTGGTCGAGCCGCTGGCAAGCACAGCCTCGATGCCGACGAGGTTCTGGAGGCGAGCCTGCGTGTTCGCCAGGTGCGTCAAATTCAAACCCTGCTGGACATATTGATCTTGGAGCAATTCCGCATCGTCGGCGGTAAGATAAGCCACAATAATGTCCACAACGACAGACCCTGCAGATAACTCGACTGCCACCTGCGATCTGGAAACATCTGAGAACGTGTCCAAAAAAGCATCAGCAACAGCGTTTTCAAAAGCATCGGCAATGCTCTCGTTGGCCTGTAGCTCTGAGTAGTCGACCGACGAAACACGCAGTGTCATCCTGCACTCATGGTCTGTGAGCGTGGTGTATGTGCCCTTTGTTTCCGATGTCGTTGTCTCAGAGGCCGCAGCTGTGTGAGTCGTCACCGAGGCGCCACCTGTCCCAGGGCTGGACCTAAACGCTGATTCTTCGTTTTTTATGCATCGTATTTTGCTCTACCTGTTCTCCTTTACCTCCCTCCCAAAACGAAAAAGCGATCGTTTTTTTTATTCGGCGTTTCGACATTGGGCGGAAGGGGGGGAGGGGAGGCTGTTTGCAGCAGTGCATCGATTAGGGGGGAGAGGCTCCACCTGCTCGAAACAGGCGCCAGGAACAGCCAAGATCTACTCAAGGGGGGGGGAGGGAGGGGGGGCGCTGCAGCGGATTTCTCCGTGGATTTTAGCCCGAAGCGGCGAACGAAAAACGAAGTGAGTTTCGCGCGCATGTTTGCTGGTCTTCATTCCTGGCCCAGAAAAATCCGCACGAAATTCACCTCAAAATCCAGTGCGAACTTCTCCAGGACACTCTGGGCCCACCCTGTCGTTTTCCGAACGAAATTCGCTCTGCGATGTTGGCGCCATGAGAAGTCCAGCAAAACAGCGTTTAGGTCCAGCCCTGACCTGCCCCTGCACGGCGCAGGATGCCCGCCGCTGCTGGACTCCGGCGTGGCTTTTGCGTGGCATGCGCGACGGCCCCCGACGGGCCGTGGCGCACCACGGAGGGCCGCAGGTGGGGTGGTGTCGCTTTGTGTTTCTTGGTCGATACACGTTGCTTGTCGTTGTGCTTTGGTGTTGGCTCTCGTCTTCTGCTCGACCTGTTCTCCTTTACCCCCCTCCCAAAACGCAAAACAATGACCCAGAAAAAGCACATCCCCAATCCCAAAATCGCGGATTCACCCAGGATTCGAAGGTCGGCCAAGGATTTCGGGGTATGTTTTGCGCTCGTCGCTGTCACCCTGGTAGCACCCTGCCCAAAAACCTCCCTCCCCGAAGTCTCGAGGAGCCTGCGCTTCGTCTTGGCCCTCGCGTTTTTTGGGATTGGGCGTCTCTTTTGAATTAGTGAAGCTGACTACCTACCAGACCACCCCAACCCAACCCGAAGACACGAATTTGACCCGAATTTCGGGTTGGGGGGGGTACGGGGACCATGTGTTTCTTCGACGTTCCCCGGTCCCCCCCCACTGGAAGTGGAGGGCAAACTGAAGCCTTCGGGCTGGGTTGGGGTGGTTTGGCTGGTGGTGGGAAACGGGACGCAGCCGAAGTCCTCCTCCTCCTCCTCCGCCCTCTCCTCCTTCTCCTCTGCCCTCCTTCTCCTTCTCCTCTGCCCTCCTCCTCCTCCTTCTCCTCCTCCTCCTCCCCCTCCTCCTCCTCCTCCTCCTCCTCCTCCTCCTCCCCCTCCTCCTCCGCCCTCTCCTCTTCCTCCCCCTCCGCCTCCCCCTCCTCCCCCTCCGCCTCCTCCTCCTCCTTCTTCCTCCTCCTCGCACTCGGGTCCAGCCCCGACCTGCCCCCGCGCGGCTCCGGGCGCCGGCGCCGGACCCCGCCGCAGTGCCGCTCGCCCTGGCGCTGCTCGCCGCCGCCGCCCCGCTCGGCGGGGCGGGGCTCGATGCCGAGGCGCTCTGCAGGCTCGTCCTGGTGGGCGACGGGGATCTCTGAAGGGGCCCTGGGGCACACCAATAAATACTCACACCAGACCACTCCAGGGGAGGGTATTTTTCGACACCCCTCACGAGGATCGTGGCCTCCGAGGGGGGAGCCGCAATCGACTACCCCCAAGAGCCCCCCAAGAGGCCCTGGGGGCCTCCAAAACGCCGCCAAGGAGCCCCAAGAGACTCCCAAGAGGTCCCCAAGAGGCCCCCAAGAGGCCCTAAAGAGGGCTCCAGGGCCGGCGGCATGAGCGAAGCGATTAAATAAATACTCACACAAATCAAAGAGGATGCCCCCTATTTTGCAAATACCGTCTGGGTTCCTGTCTTCCCCCCCCTCACGTCCCCTGTTTTCCCATGTTTTTGGGGGGAATCGACGATTCATTGTGTCTGCGTGTTCTTTCCCTCCTGAATATTGCAGCGAAGAGGGGGGGGGGGGAATTCTGACGACGGCGCGGCCGCCCGACCCGATAGGCCCCTCTGCCGAGAGTGAACCGACGACGGCGCGGCCAGGCAACCCCCCAAGTCGCTCCCTGCTGGAGTCGCGCTGGTGATGTCGAGCTCGCACTGAGTCGGGCATGTCCCCCCTACAGGCGGATCTTGGGCGAAAAGTGAATTATCCCAGTGCGACCCTACCTAGGAGTTGGAGGATCTAGGAAAGCAACATCTATATGAAGTTAAGCTAAGCTAAGATGAAGCTAAGCTAAGATGAAATAAGCTTAGCTATGCTATGCTAAGCTGCGCTATGCTATGCTATGCTATGCTATGCTATGCTATGCTATGCTATACTGCGCTATGCTATGTTATGATTGGCTATGGTATGATATGTTCTGTTATGATAATGCAGCGCTGCGCTATGCTAAGTTAAGCTAAGCTAAGCTATAAACTAACCCTCTAAGCAGAGCCTAGGTAGGGAATTCCACCCATGATATGATATGCGATGCTGCGCTATGCTATGCTACGCTATGTTATGCTGTGCTCTGCTATGCTAAAGCTCAGAGAAGCTAAGATGAAGGTAAGCTAAGCTAAGATAAAACTGAAGTAATATGAAGCTAAGCTAGGGTAATATGAAATAAGCTAAGCTAAGATGAGATAAGCAATGCGAAGCTAAGGGAACGTCACTGGGGGAACCGCGGGGCGGGGAACCGCCCGGGGCGTGCCCCACTGCCCGGCCCTTTAAGCAAACAGAGTAAGAACCCTTCTAGGCAGAGCCTAGGGAGGGAAACACACTTTAAACACACACCCAGAACTCCGCCGGCCCCCTTGCGGGGCCACCGGGCTGTAGGCCGGGAGTGTGCTGCTCCCTGTGCCAGTTGCAGCTTCCAGTTTCCACTGTTTCAGTTCTGCTCCTTGCTGCTTACTGTTCCTTGTTGATGAACGCGAGGGGGGGGGAGCCCAAACCAGCAGAACTACCACGCCCTGGGAGGGTTCTCAGAATTTCTGAGGGGCGTAAGCACTGACACCCCTCACGCAGATCCGCAGGGTCAGGGTCCAAAAACACCAAGGGTTTGCCACATGTTTAAACTTCAGTGGCACCCCTCACGCAGATCGGCGGGGTCAGGGTCAAAAAACACATGGGATTTGCCACATGTCTGAAATTCGGTGGCACCCCTCACGCAGATCGGCGGGGTCAGGGTCCAAAAACACAGGGGATGTGCCACATTTCTAAATTTCGGTGGCACCCCTCACCCAAATCGGCGGGGTCAGGATCCAAAACAAAAAGGGATTTGCAACATTTCTGAAATTCGGTGGCACCCCTCACGCAGATCGGCGGGTCAGGGCCTAAAAACACATGGGATTTGACACATTTCTGAAATTCGGTATCACCCCTAATGCAGATCGGCGGGGTCAGGGTCCAAAAACACATGGGATTCGCTACATTCCTGAAATTCGGTGGCACCCCTCACGCAGATCGGCGGGGTCAGGGTCCAAAAACAAACAGGTCCTGACACTGCTTCACGGCGGCGCCCAGACCTCATGATTTAGCTTTTGCACCTCCCATTGTCCGAGACAGGGGGCCGGCAGCATGGGGCGAAGCCCTTACGGATAATCAAATAAAATTGGAAGCATCGTCCCCGAACCATTTTTTACTATTTTTGAATACTCCTCCTGTAGAGGGACAGGCCCGACTTAAAACTCGCACTCTCTGCACTTGCCTCCGTGGTGCTGGTCGTGAAGCGGGTGCCTGCTGTGCTCGTCCTGGTGTCAGCAGTCTTTGCCTAAATGGGCCCAGGGACACACACACACAGAAATATACACAATCCCAGGATTCCCCTTATATGTTTACATATGTTCTGGGCTTTCGTCCTTCCCCCCACACTTCCCATAATTCCCCATATTTTCCTGAAGATCGACGATGAACTGCGTCCGTGTGTTTTTATCCCCTCCTGATCTTTGTCAACGTAGTGGCCATGGACACCGTTGCACTGCTGGTTATCACTGTTGCTGTAGTTGTCGACATTGCCGTGATCGATGTGGTGGTTGCCGTCGAGGTGCTGGCCATCGAGCTGGAGAGCGTCGTCCCAAATGAACTGCTTGTCGCTGGCCAACTCGACGAATACGATGTGGCTTTGGAGCTGCTGGTCATCGGGCTGGTCGTGACCGTGGAAGTTCTTGTTGAGGTCTGGATCGTCAAACTGGTATGCTTGGTGCGATGCACCGTCGTATCACTACTGTTCTCCGCTGTGCTACTCCATGTCGTGCTGTCGGTTCCTGTCGAGCTCCTCACGGTCGAGCCGCTGGTTACCGATCCAGCGGCTGCTGTCGAGATGCCGGCCATCGAGCTGGCGAGCGTCGTCAAGGCTGAGCTGCCTGTCGCTGGCGAAATCGACAAAGATGATGTGGCTCTGGAACTGCTGGACATCGGCCTGGTCTGGGTGGTGCTAATACTGCTCGCGCTGGTCTGAGTCGTGCTGATCCCCGCCGTGCTGCTCATCATCGTGCTACCAGTACCAGCCGCACTGTACACAGAAGCGGTGCTCGACAAACTGCCCGACTCTCTTGCGGATGTCACAATAGTGGCCAACTTTGTCAGTGACACTGTTGTCCCTGTGTTGCTCGTCGTAGTCTCCTGAGCTGTCCATGACATCTGCGGAATAGTTATGCTCGAGGTCGCTGTGTTTGCGTAAAGACTTGTGGTAGAGCTGCTGGTCATCGAGGCGGTCGTGGCTGTCCCGCCTATCCGGCTGGTCTGCGAGGTGCTAATCTCACTCGTGCTGGTCAGAGTCGTGGTGCTAGTTTCACTCGTGCTGGCGAGGGCCGTTTTGCTAGTCTCACTCTGCGTAGTGAGACTCACGCTGCTATTACCACTACTGCTATCACTCGCACTGAACGAATTCCTGCTTGACGCAAAATTCGACTCACTTCTGGATGTCACGCTCGCGCTGCTACTCCCCGCCGTGCTCGCTGTCGTTCTGGTGGTTCCAGTCCCGCTGCCCAGGGACGTGCTTTCTGTCCGGGTCGCCGAGCTAGTCTGCGTGGTGCTTTGCAAGCTCGTGGTGCTGATGGTACTGATGGTGCTGGTCCTCGTACTGGTGTGTGCAGACGTACTGGTGGTGCTGCTGGTGTGCAGATTCGTGATGCTCGTGTCCGACACAATTATGTGAGTATTGCTGTGGACTGTTGTGGTGCCTGTGCTGGTAGTGGTCGTTGATGTATATGTACTCGACGCCATCGTCGTTGAAACCATTACCTGTGTGCATGCATCGTGTCCTGGCCATGGGTCATTTGCCACAACCTCATTGATCCGCGAACAGACCGATGTCATGTTGGGGCGTATTAGCATGTTTGTCTACTATCTGCTGAAATGTCTGTGATTTTCGAAGGCCCACACCCCCACATTGCAGACCCAGGTAAAAAAACATGCTCCCCCCGTGTTCTGCCCTGCGGAGCTCTTCATGGAGTCCAACCGCTCCATGACTGGCTAATACCCTTTCCAAAGCGGCTACAAGAGCAGAAGAGACCCCCAAGACCATCCCAAGATGCCCCGAGAGGCATCCAAGAGAAGCCCGAAGAGGCCTCCAGCAAGGCACTAAGATGCGAACATCTTTGAACCACCCACCCCCAGACGGCCCCAGAACCGCCCGAGAAACCGCCAAGACGGCCCCAAGGCCAGCCTGGATGTCCCGTACATGGCTCAACCGAGCATCTTCGGGAGGAGCTCCGTCGAATCATCGCGCACAGGACTGCCCCAGGACCCCGGACGGGCCCCCAACAGACCACCAAGAGGCCCAAAGAGGGCCCCGAGAGATCCCCAAGAAACCCCCAAGAAGCGTCCAAGGTACCCTCAAGAGCTTCAAGATGGAGGAGGGAAGAGGGGGGGAAGAGGAGGGGGGAGGAACGATGAGAACGAGGCTGTGGGCTGTGGACCAGCAAGGGCGCCCAAGGCCCTCGCCAGCTCAGGTCGAGCATTTGGCTGGAGCAGGCCGTGAACTCAACTGTGGCTACGCTGGCACGGTGGCTGGATTTGCCGTAGACAGCTGTATAGTAGAAAAACAATAACGCCACCCTGCACCATCGCACGAGACATCGTGCAAAACTGTGCAATGAACATCCGCGTCGCACGCACTCACTGCAGCGTCATAGCTACTAGCCGTAGAATAACAAGACCCTTGCCACGCAGCGTTGCCAACCCGTGGGCCGTCCACATACTCAGCAATTTGCAGCCTCCGCGGACCAGACGATACGCTCTGTGACCCTGGCTTCTGGCACAAGCAAGCCGACAGCATATCACACTTTTCAGAAAACATATCGATGATTGCGCTTGAGCTGCTGTCCATGCACATATGATCCTTAGGACAATCCGCAGCACGTGCACATGTGATCGCACCAGGCCAACTCCCAACAACAAGAATACGAGAGGACAACCCGCTGCTGGCCGAATCCGGCGATTCCCAAGAGTGACTGGCTAAATGTGTGCCTGCAGCATGTGCTTCATCGATTGTGGCACCGATGTTGTGAATGATGCTGTAGCGTTTCCCGAAGGCCTCGGTGCCGCTGCCCCGGGAGGAGCCCCGCGGAGAGGAAACAGCGCCCGCACAACCACCTCGAGGTGCACTGCCCAACGGAAAAAGAAGTACTGACCACAGAGGCGAACTACGCCTCAAAGAGCCTGGACCAGAGAAGGGAGCAACGAATGGCGCGGACCAGTCAGCCATGGATCCTGTCAGCGACCGCTGCTGCCCGCGCGCTCATACCACATGAATTACGCAAGTCTGTAATAAAAAATTGAGAAGGGCTTCAGCCAAAGGCTACGGACAAACACACACACACACAACAAACAAACAAACAAACAAACAAACAAACACGACAACGAACAAACACACGCACACGCACACGCACACACACACACACACACACACACACACGCACGCACGCACGCACACACACACACGCACACACACACACACACATATATATATATATATATATAAACACACAAACGCAACACACACACAACACACATAACACACAACACGAGGCAGGGCGAGCGGCAGCGGGGCCAGAGCGCCTGCGAGGGGAGCGCCGGGCGCGGGCGCGCGGCGGGCAGCAGGCGGCGGGGGAGGCGAGCGAGGGGCGCGCCGAGGCTCGGCGGGCGCCGCGGCGGCGAGAGCCGCACCGGCGGGGCGGAGAGCGGAGAGCGGAGCGCCAGCAGGCGGGACCCGCGGGTCCAGGCGGCCGATACGGAGGGTCAAACGACGCGAAGATCGGGACAAAATCGGATCGGGATAACTCGAAATCTCTGAGAATCGGCGGGTTTGGAGGATGTATTGGGCGCCGCGGCCGCTCCAGAGCGTTCTGGAACGCTCTGAGAGCGCTCCGGAACGCTCTGGAGCGATTTATCTCGATCCTAGCCCTGTTTTAGAGGGCCCGCCCTGTGCGGATGGGCAAGGGCTGCGCAGAGGGGGCGGGGTGGCGCGGCGCACGACGCCGCAGGAGGCGCCAGCAAGCGGCAGCAGGCAGCGGGGGGAGGCGCGGGCGACGAGGCACAGCGTGGGGCCCAGAGATCCGACGCCCTGGAAACAAAAAAAACAGAACGGAAGTTCTTCGCAGTTTCCGGCCTCTGGGGGTCCCGAGCGGGCCTCGGGACCGTACACGGCTCAGGACGGAAAGGCCGGTCCTGGGGAACGGGTCGGGGCTTCCAGGGACGCCGTCCTGAAAAAACCAAGACGTCGCATGTCTGGGCAGGTCCCCCCTGGCCTCACATCAAGGGAGGGGGCATCCCGGAGCGGACAACTGGCGTTTACCAAACGGCCTTGGGCGTTTATCAAACAGCCCTGCTTGGGCGTTGCTTAATGGGGGGGTCACAAATGGGGGGGTCAGAAACGGTCCCCTTTCGTGCCCCTTTCGGGCCCCTCCAGAGCCTCAAGGGGCTCGTTTAGGTACCATTTGGGTACCTTTTCGGACCACCCTCGCCACCCCCCCATTTATGACCCCCCCATTACGCAGCGCCCAACCTGCCCTGTTTGATTCCTCCTCCGGGACCCCGCACTGAAAAGGTCACGGCGTCGGATCTCTGGGGGCGGCGCGGCGGGAGGCCGCCGGGGTGAGGCGGCGGCCCGGGTGGGTGGGAGCCACTGGGATGGCGGCGGAGGCGCACAGGCGGCGAGGCTGGCGTGTCATCAGGTCGGGCATGTCCCTACAGTTGTATTTGGGGCGAGAAATTCAAAGTTGTCAAAACAATACGACCAGTGATAATCAAAAACGTCCACCGACTATTTTGTTTACAATCCTAGGATATTCATCCTGTAGAGTGACAGGCCCGACTTAAGGCGAGGCAGAGGACCGACGAGTTCAGCCTGCCACGAGACTTGAGTCGGGCCTGCTCCTCTACATCGGAGGAACATTCAGAACTAGTCCAGAAATAGCCTGGTGACGATTTCTTGACTATTTCTGATCATGTCTGAATGTTTGTTGACTATGTTTGAGCTTTCGCCCGAAATCGGCCTGTAGGGGGACATGCCTCCTCCTCCTCCGCCTCCTCCTCCTCCCCCCCCCCCCCCCCTTGTTTCCCCTTCTTCGCCCCTCCTCCTCCTCCTCCTCCTTCTCCTCCTCCTCCTCCTCGTCCCCCCCCCCATTCCCCTCCCTCCCTCGCGGCGGAGCAGAGGACCGGCGAGGTCGGCCTGCCACGAGGCGGACGGCGGCAGCCGCGGCAGCGGGGCGGGAGCCGGCCCCAGGGCCCCGGCCTCCCCCGCCCAGGCTCGCTTCGCGAGTTCCTGCGCCGACCTCCCTGGCCTTCCCTGTCTCGGCCCCGCCCTGCCTGGTCAGTTTAGAGGGCAAAAAATCACCCCCCATAATAACCACCCCGACACGCGAAGCCGTTTACTAAACGCCCCCACTGAAGGAATCGAACAGGGCAGGGCTGTTTAGTAAACGCCCAAGGCCGTTTAGTAAACGCCAATTGTCCGGTCTGGGTGGTTTTGCCTCCCTTGACAGTTCCCAAGCTGGAGTTCGGCAGCCCCATGTATCCTCGCACCCTGCTGCTCAGTGGCGCGCCGTGTCGTGTGGCGCGTGCTGCCAGGCTGTGCACGGCCTCGCTCGTTCGTTTCCGTGGCGAGTCTGGGTGGGCAACGAGTCTGACCGCGATCGAATTGATGGTGCAAATGAAACTGGCACGCATGACTGCGCCGCGACTGTGCAAGTACGCGAATTAATTGCCCACCCTTCGCGCTCCCCCCCTCCTGCATTCCCAGTACCGCACCATCCCTCCTCCTCCTCCTCCTCCTCCTCCTCCTCCTCCTCCTCCTCCTCCTCCTCCTCCTCCTCCTCCTCCTCCTCCCCCTTCTCCTCCTCCTCCTCCTCCTCCTCCTCCTCCTCCTCCTCCAATGCCTTCCTTCACATGCACGCGGTGCAATCGAAGCCACTCGGGCGTGCGCGGGGCACGCGCTCCTCATCTCAGACGACACGCCTCCTCGAAAGCCAGAGCTGTTCGCTGTGAGATGGCTCCGCCACTGCAGGAGATTCAAACGATGACTCGCAGGGCCAATCATAGAGAACCAAGCAATGCCATAAGCATAAAAACTCAGAGGTCCGCGCGGACCTCCGAGTTCTTATGCTTATGTCATTGTTTGTCTCCCTAAATCAAGTCCTAGCGGGCCGCGGAAATAGAACAGTGAATCAATCACTGGCTGAAAGGACTCGCTGGGAACTGCCGGAAGATGTGTAACAGCCTACAGAACCCTGGAGAAGATACGTGAGGTACTGAATCGATGCACTTGTCGAGTGCATTCGCAGTCGTACACCGAGCAAAAGCGATGCGGTGGGAACAGAAAAAAAAGCGGCATCGCAGCCACAACACTGTCCTGGCATTTAAGAGGACTCGCTTCAGAAGTGCTATCATGAGTGCTGTGCCCAGGCGAAGACATCGCACCGTGCATGTAAGGCACAACGTGACTACGCGCGCGGCTATTGCTGGTGGGAGCACCCCCCAAACTGTCACCTCACCACAACACATGGGCCCTCCCGAGCTTGAGATGCCAAGGTGTGTACCGCTCGCTAGGACTTGTCTGTGACCTCGGCACCGACTTCTGTGTCACCGTCGTCGGTTGTGTCACCTTGCCAAAACTCGAACTCCGACAGTATAAACCTCCGCTTGCTCACGTGGTGTGCGAGGTAGTTGTGTGTAAACATAGCGCATAGTGGGAACAATATCAAGCCCACGAGGGCCTGCTGAATACAATATTGTCCTAAACTTTTCGGCATTTGATTGCATATGCCGCCGTGTACAGTTTCCCGGTAGTACCGATAGGTGTTCGCAGCGCTGAACAATCCTCTTGCCGTTCTCAAGTTGGCCAAGACCACGTCACGAATGCCCTCAATATCTTTGTCGAGATCGCCCAGAGGCTTGCACGAGAGCGACTGCGGCTTCACGATGGACTCGTGATACTCCCGCCAAATGTCCAACACATTTTGGATGTACTCGTGGATGTCGTCGGCGAACTGGTTCAATGGATTGTATACGTCCCCGAGGACGTAAAACCGTGAAACGTTCGCAAAGAGGTGGCCCACCTCTGCAGCCTCAACCTCAGCGTTGACAAAATCGACCACGTTCTGGTCGATATCCGAACATATCTGCGCACTTCCTATCAAAACCGACAATATCCGCCACCGTGCACCCTGGCATGTTGAGGCGTTGTTGAACCTGACCAGACAACAGCGGGAAATGTCATGTTTGAAGAATGCGCGCGAGGAGCATGAGGATAAGACCATTGAAGAAAGGGGGTCCATCGTGACCTTGCGGGGCTACCCTGCGGACTGCTGGGGCCTGTCGTGGGGCCTCTTGGGAGCCTTTCGTGATCCCCTCGGGGCTTTCGGGGTCTTGGGCTGCGTGGGCATGTCGTGGGGTACTTTGGCAAGTGCTTTGGGGACTCTCTTAAGCAGTCCTGGCGCCATCTCGGCCCGTCTTGAGGCTCCCTTGGGCCGTCTGGTACACTCCTGGGGCGATTTCGGGAAGCCTCTGGGGGCGCTTTGGGGGTCCTTTGGGGGGCCTCTTAGGGCTCTTCTGGACCATTCGGAAGCCCTCTAAACAATTCCAAGACGATGTTTGTCCAAATCAAGCGAAAACGATAATGCTTAAGACACCTGGCCGGACAAGCACGGGAAGCATCGCTTTTGCCAACTGGGCCCGTGAGACGAACAAGGGGACCAGGAGGACTACGAGCAGGAAGACGAGGACAAGCACGAGGACGAGAGTATTGAAGACGAGGAGCATGATCACAAGAAGGAGGACGACAATATCGACGACAAAGGGCAGGAGGCAGGGAACGTGGACGACGAGGACAACATGGGTGAGGCTGGCGAGATCGAGGAGGACGAGGAGGACGAGGCCCTCGAGAAGGATGAACACGACGAGGAGGACGATCAGGACAAGTCTTAGATCGGGCCTGTCCCCCTACACGCTGATTTTGGGCGACAAATGAAAAATACGTAACACCCCGCAGATGCGGAAAAGAGTGAGGGGGCGGTGGGGGACGTCGGCAATTTGCGAGACTCTGGAGAAGCCCGCCGCAGGCGACAAAGTTTTACAAATTATGCAACGAGCCCGCCGCAGGCGCCGACTTTTTCGTTAAACCAATGTGGGTAGGTCGCGGGTGGGTCGCAAATGGGTCGCGGGTGGGTCGCGGGCGGGTCGCGGGTGGGTCGTGGGTGTAGAGGGCAGAACATCCAACCCATAAGAATCAACCCGACAAGCGAAGCCGTTTAGTAAACGCACACAAGACATGAATCGAACAGGGCAGGGCTGTTTAGTAAACGCCCAAGGCCGTTTAGTAAACGTCAATTGTCGGGTACTGGTGGTTTTTCCTCCCTTGGGGGTGGGTCGCGGGGTGGGTCGTGGGTGGGTCGCAGGGTGGGTCGCGGGGTGGGTCGCGGGTGGGTCGTGGGTGTAGAGGGCAGAACATCCACCCCATAAGAATCAACCCGACAAGCGAAGCCGTTTAGTAAACGCACACAAGAAATGAATCGAACAGGGCAGGGCTGTTTAGTAAACGCCCAAGGCCGTTTAATAAACGTCAATTGTCGGGTACTGGTGTTTTTTCCTCCCTTGGGGGTGGGTCGCGGGGTGGGTCGTGGGTGGGTCGAGGATGGGTCGCGGGGTGGGTCGCGGATGGGTCGCGGGGTGGGTCGCGGGTGGGTCGCGGGTGGGTCGCAGGTGGGTCGCGAAGTGGGTCGCGAGTGGGTCGCGGGTGGGACAACGACAAACAACAACAACAACAACAACAACAACAACAACAACAACAACAACAACAACAACACCAACAACACCAACAGCAACAGCAACAACAACACCAACAGCAACAACAACAACAACAGCAACAGCAACAGCAACAGCAACAACAACACCAACACCAACACCAACAACAACAACAACAACAACAACAACAACAACAACAACAATAACAGCAACAATCATTCCAAGACTGTTCGCTCCTACCGGCCCGCGTGTCATTCACTATGCATACCCCAAACCCAGGATACCCGCCCTCTTCGTCTTCGATCGTACCCCCTTTCTGGGGGGTTATGTTCCTTCCTGGCCACGTGTAATTGGACAAGCCCCTCAGTGGGCAGCGTGGTGGGGCCTCTGTGAGCGCGTTGGGGGCCTCTGTGGGCTGCATCTGGGGCCTCGGTGGGCAGCGTGGTGGGGCCTCTGTGGGCAGTGTGGTCGGGCCTCAATGGGCGCGTTCGGGGCCTCTGTGGGCTGCGTCAGGGGCCTCAGTGGGCAGCGGGGTGGGGCCTCTGTGGGCGCGTTCGGGGCCTCTGTGGGTTGGGTTCGGGGCCTCATTGGGCAGCGTGGTGGGGCCTCTGTGGGCACATTCGGGGCCTCTGTGGGCTGCGCCGAGGGCCTCAGTGGGCAGTGTGGCGGGGCCTCTGTGGGCGCATTCGGGGCCTCTGTGGGCTGGTTTCGGGGCCTCTGTGAGCAAAGCTCTGTGGGCGCGTTCGGGGCCTCTGTGGGCTGCGGCAGGGGCCTCTGTGGGCAGCGTGGCGGGGCCTCACTGGGCGCGTCTGAGGCGGGAGCCGTTGTTGTTGTAGCCAGGGGCCCAAGGGCACAGTTTGGCCCGGATGACTTTTCCTGTCAGATAAACGGGGTGCGAGAGTCGAGGGGCGCACTTTGACTGAGAAAAAACAATGCGCACCAGTGGGGGGGACCAACAGAAATCATTCTTCAGGAATGAAAACTCAACATCAACTGACGTGTGAGGGAGAGGGAATCGGAAGGAGGGGGGCGGCGGCCCGGGAGGAGGGAGGAGCAGGAAGGTAACGGTGCGAACGTTCAAAGAAATCCTAGGCGAAAGCGCCATTCCACAAGGAAGTCTCGGGCGGCAGCCCACGACGGGCGGGCGCTCCTCTAACGGGCGGGTCGGGCGGATGGGACATTCAAGCGGGATGCCTGAGTAGGGCGAGAGCGCGATTCCTAAGTAAAGTGTTGCGGCGTCCTTGGCGCGAGCGTGGTGCCTGAGCGTAGATAGCGCGACTTCTGAATAAACTGCGAAAAAAGTCACAGGCGAGAGCGCAATTCCTGAAAAGGGGATGCCTGGCGGGCGCGGGGGTCTAGACTAAAGCGCAAGGAAATCTTAAGCGGGAGCGCCGTCCTTGAGTAAATTGTGAGGAAGCCTCAGACGGGGCGCGGGCACGACGGCCTGCACCCCTGCGGCGACGAGCGAGGCGTCGTGCTCGGCGACCATCCTGATGGCGGCGGGGCGCAGCGCCGCGAAGTCGGCCAGCGTGAGCGGGGCGCGAAGTCGTACACGGGGATGCCCCCAGCGGCAGGCGGGGGACCCCCACTCGTGGACACGGCGATACCAGGCACGAGTGTCCGTGCTGGCTGGGCCCAGCTCCTCGATGCACAGATCGTCGTCGGGAGTGATGACCACGCAGTCAGTAGGGCGGACCGCCGACACAGCCACCACATCACGACCATGTAAAAGCGGTGGCTGCACCGCGTAGTCGATGAACAACTCATCGCCCTCAATCATCGATAGACTGCGCCACCGCGAGGCTGGTGCTGTAGCGGTGGTCGACCTCCGCCAGGTGGCGAGCTCGGCGCTGGCCGCGTGCCCTCGGGCGCAGGCGCGGGCGCGCTAGCCAAGTGGGTCCCGCGCCGACCGCAGCACCTGCAAGCGGACGCCAGCCAGCGGAGCCCCTCCACGAGCAGCGGGCCCGCGAACGTGAGGAGCACGTGCTGGAGCGTCGGCGGCTCGGGCAGCGGGCAGCCGGCCGAGCACTGCAGGAGCAGGGCGGCACACTCCTCCAGCGAAGGCGCGCGCTGCTCCACGACTGGCTCCACGCACGGCGGAGCGAGCGGGAACCGGAAGGCGCAGGCCTCCGCAGAGGGCGCCTCCAGCTCCAGATCGGCCTCCGCAGCCGGCGGGGGCAGAGGAGGCGGGACAGGACCGCAGGCGAGGCGCTGGTGAGCGGTCGGGCCCACAACAATCCAGGCCAGGAGGAAGCCTAACTGGGCGAGGCTTGCTCCCTCCGGCCGCATCTCGAGAGAAAAGGCTGCAGAGCAGATACATGCGTGTTGCCAACCGTTGCGGAGCAAAACGCTGGGAATCAGGCGAACGTATCTGGCGGCTCTCATTCTGCCTCAGGATTGAAGTTCAGAGAACGACCATCATCATCATCATCATCATCATCATCATCATCATCATCATCATCATCATCATCATCAACATCATCGCCAGTAGCCCTAACACACACTCGCTCACTCACTCACTCTCTCACTCAATCACTCATTCACACAGTCAGGCACACACTCACACGCTCGCACACTCAAGCAATCCTGAGCAAACTCCTAGGACGACTCGAGCGGGGCCTCGTCTGTGAGCAAATAGCGAGAAGGATCCGCGCGGGAGCCCCTCGGCGTGGGCCATGGGGCCCGCAAGTCATGTCTGTAATCCGAGAGGTGTCATCGAAATCCTGAAACGGCCTGGTAGGGCTCCCAGACGGCCGAAGAAGGCCCGAAAACCGTTCCAAGAGACGGCCCAGACGGCCTCAACAGGACGGGCCACAGCCTCCAAGACTGCCCCACAGGAGCCCAAAGACAGCCCCAATACTGTCCAGCTAATTAGCCCCCACGAGAGCTGCTCAAGAAGTGGAGACGAGAGGCGCCCCATGTGACGGTCTTCTGGGCGGTGCCCGAAGGGTCGTCACAAAGAGTGCTTCGCTGGCACGGTGGCGGATTCACCGCAGGCACCTGGATGGCGGCACAAGTGGCAGCTACAAAAATGATAATCAGCACGAAGAAAATTGCACAAATAGCCAGACCCTTATTCTCGCACCGTGCCGTCGCAGGTGATCCGAAAAACCTGGCGATAAACACTTCCGCCAACATGATCAATGCAAAGATGGACATGATGAGCATTGGGGCACAGGGGAACCAGACAGCCCCCGCACTGTATCTCACCAGCTTCTCTTGAGCTTTGTCGACCTCCACAGGAGCATCCTTGACACCATCCTGGAAATTATGCACTACATTGGCCAACTCTTTCGTGGAATTGACGGCAAACCGGCCGACCATAGACATCACTGGGTTATGCTTGCAGCGCGAAATCTGGTCGAACGCGAAGCTCAGGTTCGAGGCCGTGTAGTTGAGCAGGAGGGTCTGTTGGCTGAGCTGCTCCGAGTCGTTCTTCAGATGCTGGAGCTGGTCTGCCAGGATCTCCCTCGTAACCTCGGATAGCCCAGGTTTTGCCAAGGACTGGTTTCCCCCCACACAAAACCGAAACTTCCCCCGAAACGGAGCTTCTCGCCGGGTTCTGCGACGACTTCGAAAAGGTTTGGGTCCTTTCGGGGGGACGCCAGTCCCTAGCGAACCACGAGCTTTCTACTTTCGGGGTTGGAAAGACCCCCCTTTAGTAGAACGTGGTTTAGTGAAAACGACCCGAGGCCCAAACCTGGCGGGCGCAAGCCTGGAAAACAACGGCCACGGCGCCCTCTCGAGCACCGAAAACGGACAATTCACTGATCGACGTGTCACTGTTGGGGGCTCTGTCCACCTCCGATACTTGGAACCTCCCAGTTCTCGTACCGCGAGTGGACCGCCCACGCACTGCAGAACACGACCAGTCCCGCCAGCAGCACCACCGGCACTGCTCGCGGCTCCTCTCGAGGAGCGAAACAAAATGGCATGTGCAGAGGCCTCCGGAGGTCTGCGCGGACTTCTTGCGTCGGCGCCGGAGCCCTCCCGGCGGCGCCTCCGGAAGCTCATGCTCGCGTCTGCGAGGCGGGGATTCATCCATATCCACGGCCTGGGGACCGACGTCCTGGTGCCCCGGCGGGGGCGGTGGGTATGGACGCATTTTCGCCCCCGCGGGACCGAATATGTCCATTTCCGCCGCCTGCCGAGGTCCCCGAGAATTGATCCTCCAGGCGGTGGTAATGTATATATATATATATAATATATATATATATATATATATATATATATATATATAATATATATAAATATATATAAAGTATATATACATAGGGGAGCGAATCATGAAATAAAAATTCGCCGGCCCAACGGGCCAGGGCGTGCTAAGATCTCCGGTAACTGGTTAACAGTATTAACAGTATTTCTAGTTCGCGCGCGCGGGGCGGCCCCTGGGGGTCCCCCGGCGAAAAGTACCCCGACCAACGCCCGACCGCCGCCCGACCGCCGCCCGACCGCCGCCCGACCAAGTCCGACTCTACTTGCCTTCTGGGTGCGGCCTCTCAGGCTCCCCAGAGCGCGCTCAGAGTGCCCCAAGAGGCCCCCAAGACTGCCCAAGAGGCCCCCGAGACGCCCAAAGAGCGCTCGAAGACGCCGAAGATGACCCCAAGACGGCCCAAAAGGCCCCCAAGACAGCCCAAGAGGCCTCCAAGACGCCCCAAGAGCCTTCCAAGAGGCCTCCGAAGAGAGCCCCAAGAGGCCAAAATCGTTGATTTTCATTGGTTTTTTCTATGTTTTTTGTGTTCTGGCTTTTTCGGCTTCCGGACGCTCCAAGACGGCCCAAGAGGCCCCCAAGACCGCTCCAAGACGGCCCACGAAGCTCCCAAGACGGCGCCGAAACGACCCAAGAGAGCCCTCAAGACGGCCCAAGTGCCGCCCAAGACGGACCAAGAGGCCCCAAGACGGGCCCAAGAGGGACTCAGGAGGGATACCGAGAACTCAAAAATGGAGCCCTCCGTCCCAGAAGGCGCCCAGGAGGTCCCAAAGAGGCCCCAAGAGGCCTCCAAGAGGCCCCAAGATGTCGCCAAGAGGCCCCAGGAGACTCCCAGGAGGCCCAAAAGAAGCCCCAGAAGGCTTCAAACATGTCTCCCAGGCGCCCCCGAACGGCCTCTCAACAGACCCCAAGAGGCCCCCCAAAGAAGCATCTTGACGACGACTCTATTTCGCCCCATCGAGAGACGACCCCCAGGGAACTGCTTCACCATCAAAACTCCCCACGCAACGCGTCCGAACGACACCCGCCCCCAAGAGCGCAACATGGGCAACGAACACACAGACAAAAACCAGCGATGCCATATCACGGGCCGGCGGAATGAGCGAAGCGATTCAATAAAAACTCGGAGGTCCGCGCGGATTTCTTGGATCCGCGCTGAACCCCCCTCCCTGGCGGGCGGAGCGAGCCAGGGGCGGCGCCGGAGGCGCCGCCAGGGGTCCCCAGCGCCGATGCGCGAAATCTGCGCGGACCTCCAAGTTTTCATATTTATGTAATTTTTCGTTCCCCGACGCCGATCCGAGAAATCCGCGCGGACCTCCGAGATTTTCTGTTTATGTCATTATTCGTTTCCCGATGTATATATATAAACATCTATATATGTATGTATATATATATATATATATATATATATATATTCGCGGGAAGAGGAGGAGGAGGAGGAAGAGGAGGAGGAGGAGGAGGAGGAGGAGGAGGAGGAGGACGAGAAGGAGGAGGAGGAGGAGGAGGAGGACGAGGGAGAGGAGGAGGAGGAGGAACAGGAGAGGAGGAGGAGGAGAGGAGGAGGAGGAGGAGGAGGGGGAGGAGGAGGAGGAGGAGGAGGAGGAGGAGGAGGAGGAGGAGGAGGAGGAAGGAGGAGGACGAGAGGAGGAGGAGAGGAGGAGGAGGAGGAGGAGGAGGAGGAGGAGGAGGAGGACAAGGAGGAGGAGGAGGAGGAAAGGAGGAGGAGGAGGAGGTGGAGAGGAAGGAGGAGGATGAGGAGCAGGAGGAGGATATGTGTATATATATATACATACATATGCATGTATCTGTATATATATATATATAGATATATAAATAAATGAATAACTTTCGCCTCGGAGAGCCATGCTCTTCGCCACCCGGAGTCCTTGCCCACTCTGCTAGTGCCCGCGGCCTCGCCGTCCACCCAGTCCAGCCGGTGGCTCTCAAAGATGGGGCCCCCCGAGGGATGGGGACCTGAGGATCGAAAGGGGTCCAAGGGGAGGAGGAGGAGGAGGAGGAGGAGGAGGAGGAGGAGGAGGAGGAGGAGGAGGAGGAGGAGGAGGAGAGGAGGAGGAGGAGGAGGAGGAGGAGGAGGAGGAGGAGGAGGAGGAGGAGGAAGAGGAGGACGGGAATCCAAGGGTTAACTTACGAGGGGAACGAAGAATGACATAAACATTAAAACTGAGGTCCGCGCAGATTTCTCGGATCCGCGCTGGGGCCCCCCGGCGGCGCCTCCGGCGCCGCCCCTGGCGCGCTCCGCGCGCCAGGAAGGGGGGTCCCAGCGCCGATCCGAGAAATCCGCGCGGACCTCCGAGTTTATGTTTATGTCATCCTTCGTTCCAATTCACATTGATTGGGGCACCTAGTCCTGAGGACCCCACCCCTCAGGAACCCATCTTTGAACCACCGGTCCAGCTGGCACAGCGTCAGAACGCTGCCGGTGCTCTGCCCCGTGCCCGTGGTGGCCTCGGAGCGCTCCTCCAGCGGGCCTCTGCGCCCTGCACCCTCGCCCCCGTCCTGGGGGACGTGCACAACAGGGCTCGACCTAAACTTACAAAATCCCAGGTTCGCTGGGGACCGGTTTCCTTCCAAAACAGCCGAAACTCTCCCGAAATATTCCGAAAATCCTCCTGGAAGGGTTCTGGGAGGCTTTTCGGAGGGCTTCGTGAGGGTTTCGGAAGGCTTTTCGCTGTCGGGGGGGAACCAATCCCTAGCGAACCAAGGCTTTCTAAACCTAAAGCGTGTTTTTCGTGTTCGTTTGGTTTTCGTTGTCCAGCGTTTTCACTCAAATCCGCCTTTGCTACAAAGCGACATCGAAACGAAGACGGCCCACGAAATCGTCAAAACGCCGTTCAGGTCCACCCCTGGTCCAAGAAGGGTGCCGACTAGGCGACGGCATCCGAGCCCCACCCCCACCAACCGTTGGAAGGCGGGGGGTGGGGTTCGGATCTCGCCACGTGTTCGACCGACGGATTCCGAGTCCTGCCCCCGCCGCCGATCGAGTTGCCTGACTCGTTGATCGGCGAAGGTAAGGTTCGGATTTCGCCGCCTGCGAATACCGTTACTCCCTGGGCCTCTCCCAGGGTGCACTCTGACCAGAATTTCGAGGATGATCCAGCCGTGGCGGCGAGAACTCCGCAGCACGAGCAGCGGTATCAATACCTCTTCGTCCTCTGACCCCCCCAACCCCTCCCCTGAGATCCGGCACTACAACAAAAAAACAGCATCGCAGAACAACACGACCAGAACCCTTTGGACCCCATATCTTCCTGCAGCACTCTTCGAGCCAGATCGATGTGTGATGGTCCCGGGGCCCGAAGCCAGGCGAAAGCGCCCGGTGCAACAAAGAACTGCAGCGCCAGATCTGAGGGTCTCCCTCCTCCTCTCCCTCTCTCCCTTGCCCTCCAGGCTGTCGGCACTGAACGTCCGTGCGGTGCGTCTGCAGCAGGCGCACCTGACCAGACCCTCGCACAGCGCCACCCCCGTGGAGACCGCGACGGCCAGGCCTAGGAGCAGGAGGGCCACGGCGGGCAGGCAGCGGGGCGTGATCAGCGACGCGGGGCGCTCCTCGCGGTTGCGTGAGATTCGGCCCCTGGCCAAAAAAACAGAACTGCCCACATGGAACCCGAACCGACAGCTCTCCATGCCACCCCTTGATTAAAACAAAAAAAAACGTGCGCCAACTTGTGTCCGCCGCGAACGCCGCGGCGACCTCCAAAACCGACCCGGAGGTTTGGTTCGTGGTCGGACATCACGCAACGACCTCGGGCCCCCGCAAAAGCGGGGACCTTTTGATGCAGCAGGCACATACTGTGAGGGCATTGGTTGTATAAGGAACCATGGGATGAGGAGTCCTGGATCTGAAAGCCGGTGGAACGCCAACTGAGGCCTGGCCATGGATACCACCGCCGCCCCGAGCAGATAAGGAGTCCTCCAGGGTTTGAGGCCTCCTGGGCACATTCCTTCACGAACGCCCCCGCTGGACGTAGAAGAGCAAACAATGGCACAAACACAAACTGTCGGAGGTCCACGCGGATTTCTTGGATCGGCGCTGGGGCCCCCTGGCGCGCTCCGCGCGCCAGGGAGGAGGTCCAGCGCCGATCCAAGAAATCCGCGAAGATTCGTTCCTCGACTACGGTCAGAAGTAAAAAAGCGATCAGAAGTCTTGCTTTGGGTCGGGCGTGTCATCCTAATTACAGGGGGATTTTAGACGAATCAGAATCAGTCCAAAAATATTCCCAAATGGTCAGAAATAGTTTGAAAAGATCGCCCCCCGACGACTTTTGGACTATTTTTGAATACTCCTCCTGCAGAGGGACACGCCCGACTCAATGCTGTCAAGAATCGTGGAGCACGTTCCTCGTCGATCTCTGAAGGTCCCCGGGTGCCCCAGAGCTTCTGCGGGTCCCTGGGCGGTGCCCCGGAGCTTCTGTGGGCGCCTGGGGCCGTCGGGGGGGCATCCATCTGGGTGTTGGCCGCGTGGGTCCACGTTCACCGGGTCTCGGATTTTCGGGCTCCCCTCCCAAAAACTCGAGACGCAACGGACGTGGATAAAATCTTGCCTCTGGCGAGACCAATTTTTCGCCCGAGTCCGCTGAGTCTCGGGCTCTTGGCATCCCTGGCCTAAACATCACAGAAGCCGTGGAAATCGTGCCCGCGCAAACAAAGACGTCGTAAGAAACCAGGACGTTGGGCGCACCCGAGGAAGCTGCAGCAAATGGGCCGAACCACTCCCTGCGCTCTTCGTCTATCCCGCGCCGGGGAAGTTTCAAGGAAATGGCATGCAGTGCCTTGGTTTCAACGGCCCTCACGCTCTCGGGGGCGTCCAAGTGAGGGCGCCCAAAGGGAGGGGGGAGAGTTACAACTCATAGCCCGAGGAGCGTGCGCGGACAGAGGGGGAGTTCAGGGGACGTGTTGAAAGAAGTAAAAGAAGACGAATCATACGGGTAGTCGTAATACTAGCGATGATAAAGATGGTGATCATAATACTAATGGTGCTGATCACAACACATACGAATAACAATCAAAAAACATTAATATTCAGAATACTGGCAATACTAACACATAATATGAATGGCACGAGTAAGAAGAAACATACTAACACACAGAATCACAATTATCATATGATACATCGTGACAGCATGAAGAATAATAGAAATACGAATACTAGTACTAATAAGAAGGAGATTGGGCAATGACATCCAGGGAGATCTCATGGCCCCAGCCATGAGATTCCCTCCTCCTAGTCCCTAGTCATCACGCCCCTCCCTGAGATCCGACGTTGCCAAAAGTGCAACATCGCGGAAGATCACGACTTGAGCCCTACAGACCCCCTCCTTCTGAGGTATTTCTCGAACTGGATCGATCTGTGATGGCGCTGGGGCCAGAGACCAGAATAAATTAGCGCACGGACCTCTCCCTGACTTCGGATCCACCGTACTTTGGCCGATGCACCCTGAACGATTCGAACAGAAATTTATGCTTCCGTACAGCAATCGTATTGCGGCTGCGTCTGCACAAATATGGCGGAACCAGCGACTGCAAAAGAGGACGAACATCGGCCTCGAAAGAGAGAATCTTATACTTTTCAGCGATAACCCCAGCTATCGGGAGAGCGGTGAGGGTGGGGGAGGTGCTGGCCGATAACCTAGCCTGTTCGTTCTGGGCAGCCCCGCGCATACCCGCGCGCACCAATGCTGCGCACCCCCTTCGGATCTGCGCAGCCGACAAAGTCAGGTTAATCTGGGGGGGCTGGGAGGAGGGGGAGGGGGGCGGGGGGGCCCGATAGCCCGGGTGATCGCAGGACCTCGAAGACTGCTTCAAAGAGCTTGAGAAGCAGGGCGGACATGTCCACCCGGCAAGCGAAATCGCCCAAAGGACGGCGGATTCGAAGTCAGGGGCCGCCCCGCAGCGTGTTGACATGGAGCTCAACACAAATATTGGAGACGTCATTGCGTGTGGCCGGGTACATTCGCCAAAAGGTGGGCCAACATGTTGAACCAACAAGCAACATATTCACACGGACGCTTCTGAACACGGTACGCGTTTTGTTTCAAAAAAGCATCCGGGTTTTCGGGTCAAAGTTCGGCTCCCCAGCGGCCGTTCGGGACGATCTTGGCACCCTCGGAGCGCTCTGGGCGAGGCGCACCTGCTGGAACGCGTCCCGAGGCTGGAAAACCGCCGAGGACCTACAAGACCGGCCGAAACTCTCGAAACTCGAAGGGCGCACCAGGGCAACCGTACGGTTTGCTACGGAGGAATCAAGCAGGGCAGGGCTGTTTAATACACGCCCAAGGCCGTTTAGTAAACGCCAATTGTCCGCTCCAGGATGTTCCCTCCCTGGATATGAGGCAAGGGGAGACCTGCCCAGACATGCGACGTCTTGTTTTTGTTCAGGACGGCGTCCCTAAAAGTCCCGACCCTTTCCCCAGGACCAGTTTTTCGTCCTGAGTAATTTTTTGACGGTCCCGAGGCCCGGCGAGGGCCCCGCGGGGCCCCAAATAGCCAAAAACCGCCCGTCTTGATTTTTTCACGACGCGATCATGTCTGGGTGGCGAGCACGCCTGGCGCGACCACACGCTGCCGCGCCCCAGCCTCGGGGCCCAGCGGGCGCCCGCCCGATGCCAGGCCCCCCCCCCGGGCGCTCCTTGGCCTGCCACAAGGCCGGGAACTGCTCGGGGCGGCCCAGCGCCGCGAACAGCCGGAGCCAGAACCCCGGCTCGAAGGCATCGGGGCGGGCCCCCTGGCACGACGAGGCCAGGGCAGGGACTGGAGGAAAAAATCACGGCATAGGCATAAGCTAAGCTTTCGACGTTCCTGGCGGATTTCTTGGATCTGCGCGGCAGCGCCTGCGGCGCCGCCCCGGGCGCGCTCCGCGCGCCAGGGAGGGGGGTCCAGGACAGGTCCAAGAAATCCACGCGGACCGTCGACAGTCGGTGTTTATGCAGTTCCTCCTTTTCCGAAAGAGAACATCTGGCAGGGATAAATCGTGGATCTCTGAGATCCGGCGGTTCTGGAGGATGTATCGGGCGCCGCGGCCAGAGCGTTCTGGAAACGCTCGAACGGATTATTCCTTGTCCCAGCCCCGCCCGACCTCGAACACGACCTGCGGCTCACACCTTCGGGTACCCGGGACCGCGCAGTAGTTCTCCGGGCAGTGGCAGCGCCCCACTATGATCGGAGGATGGCCAGCCGAGACAAGGGCGCGTGCCTTTTTCAAGGCGGAGCCAGGTAAAATTCCGTGCCCTCCGCTGACTGACCGACTGAACTGAATTGAGCTGAACTGAATGAACTGGAAGGGCACTTTTGACAAAACATCTCAACCCGCCCGGGCGAAACCGCAACCGCACCCAGACGAAACATTTCGACCCGCCCATGGGCGAAACCGCAACCGCAACGAAACGACACATTTCAACCCGCCCGCGGACGCAACCGCAACCGCAACCAAGCGACACATTTCAACCCGCCCGCGGGCGCAACCGCAACCGCAACGGCAACCAAACGACACATTTCAACCAGCCAGTGGGCGTAACTGCAACCGCAACGAAACGACACATTTCAACCCACCCGCGGGAGCAACCACAACCGCAACCGTAACGAAACGACACATTTCAACCCGCCCGCGGACGCAACCGCAACGGCAACCAAGCGACACATTTCAACCCGCCCGCGGACGCAACCGCAACCACAATCAAGCGACACATTTCGACCCGCCCGCGGGCGCAACCGCAACCGCAACAGCACCCAAACGACACATTTCGAACCGCCCGCGGACGCAACCGCAACTGCAAACGCAACGGAATGATACATTGCAACCCGCCCGCAGACGCAACAACAACCGCAACCCGGCGATACATTTTGACCCACCCGAAGGCGCAACCGCATCCGCAACCGCAACCAAACGACACAATTTAAACCGACCGCGGGCGCAACCGCAATCGCAACCACGCGACACCTTTCAACCCGCCCGCGGGCGCAACCGCAACCGCAACCAAGCGAAACATTTCAATCTGCCCGCGGGCGCAACCGCAACCGCAACCAAGCGACACATTTCAACCCGCCCGCGGGCGCAACCAAGACCGAAACCAAACGACGCATTCCAACCCACCTGCGGGCGCAACCGCAACCACAACCGCAACCAAACGACATATTTCAACCCGCCCGCGGGCGTAACAAAAACAACAACCACGCGACACATTTCAACCAACCCGCGGACGCAACCGCAACCGCAACCAAACGACACATTGCAACCCGCCCGCGGGCGCGACCACAACCGCAACCGCAAGGACACATTTCAACCCGCCCGTGGGCGCAACCGCAACCACAACCAAACGACACATTTCGACCCGCCCGTGGGCGTAACCGCAACCGCAACGAAACGACACATTTCAACCCACCAGCGAGCGCAACTGCAACCGCAACCGTAACCAAACGACACATTTCAACCCGCCCGCGGACGCAACCGCAACCGAAACCAAGCGACACGATTCAAACCGCCCGCGGGCGCAACCGCAACCATAACCGCAACGAAGCGACACATTTCGACCCGCCCGCGGGCGCAACCGCAACGGCAACAACAACCATGCGCCACATTCCAACCCGCATGCGGGCGCAACCGCAACCGTAACCCCAACCAAACGACACATTTAAACCCACTCGCCGACGCAACCGCAACCGCAACGAGCCGGCACAATCTAAGCCGCCCGCGGGCTCAACCGCAACTGCAACCAATCGACACCTTTCAACCCGCACGCGGGCGCAACCGCAACCGGAACCGCAATTAAGCGACACACTTCAACCCGCCAATGGGCGCAACCGCAATCGAAACCAGGATACACATTTCAACCCGCCCGCGGGAGTACGCCTTAACAATGAATCGCATCCGGGAATACGCCCGCAACTGCAATCGCATCCGGGAGTAAGCCTTAACAGTGAATTAAGTCAACAGCGTAGTGTCTACAGCGTAGTTTCAACAGCGTAGTGTCAACAGCGTAGTGTCAACAGCGTAGCGTCAACAGCGTAGTGTCAACAGCGTAGTGCCAACAGCGCAGTGACAACAGCGTAGCGTCGAAAGCGTAGCGCCACAAGCAACAGCGTAGCGTCGTAGTGTCAACAGCCAAGTGTCAACCAACGGGGCGTAGTGCCAACAGCGTAATTAGTGTCAACAGCGTAGTGTCAACAGCGTGGTGTCAACAGCGTAGTGTTGACAGCTTAGTGTCAACAACTTAGTGTCAACAGCGTAGTGTCTACAGCGTAGTGTCAACAGCGTAGTGTCAACAGCGTAGTGTCAACAGCGTAGTGTCAATCAACGGCGTGGCAACAGCGTGGTGTCAACAGCGTAGTGTCAACAGCGTAGTGTCAACCAACAGCGTAGCACCAGCAGAATGTCAGCAGCGTAATGTCAACAGCGTGGTGTCAACAGCGTAGTGTTGACAGCTTAGTGTCAACAACTTAGTGTCAACAGCGTAGTGTCTACAGCGTAGTGTCAACAGCGTAGTGTCAACAGCGTAGTGTCAACAGCGTACTGTCAACAGCGTAGTGTCAACAGCGTAGTGTCAATCAATGGCGTAGCAACAGCGTGGCGTCAACAGCGTAGTGTCAACAGCGTAGTGTCAACCAACGGCGTAGCACCAGCAGAATGTCAACAGCGTAGTGTCAACAGCGCAGTGTCAGCAGCGTACTGTCAACCCACGTCGTACTGTCGACAGCGTATGGTTAGCTGCGCGACCAATGGCATGGCGTGAAATCTGAACGTACCGTCGACCAACAGCGTAAGGTCAACAGCATAATGTCAACAGCGTAGTGACAACAGCGTGGTGACAACACCGTATTGTCAACAGCGTAGTGTCAATAGCGTAGTGTCAGCAGCATGAACCAACAGCGTAGCAGAAAACAACGTTGCAGCGTCGACCAACAGCGTAATATCAACAGCATCGCGTCAACAACGTAATGTTAACAGCGTAGCTTTGTACTGTCAAAAGCGTAGTGCCAACCAGACACATCTGTCATTGTGTTTAATCCCAGTAAAAATATTTCTTCCTGAGAGATCGTCTCTCATGAAAAATCGTTTCTCATCTTAAATCACTCTCTGTTTTAAACCGCGTCATGAGGAACCGTCTCTCATGTCTCTGATGAGAACCGTCTCTCAAGAGAAGTGTCTCTGAAAACGCGTCTCATTTTAAACCATGCAATTCAGACAAATCTCAAGATGTTCATATTTCATGAACAACCGCCTCTCATGAGAAATTCGGATCGAATGCTTTCTTGCCTTTGGGATGACTCGGTTAATGATGAAGCTCTGTGATTCCTCATGCGAAGAAATACCTCCAGAATAAATCAGTGTCGTCGACAATTATGTATTCCTAAATTATTTCTTGCTGTGAGGAATGACAGAGCTGCACGGTGAACACCGGAGTTTTGTTCCAACGCCAAGAACACATTATCTGCGGACTTCTCATGAGAGGCGATTGTTCATGATAGATGCTGTACTCTGGTTTTCCAAATGATATATTGTTCAAAATGAGACACAGGTTCAGATAAATGTCTCGTGGGAGACGTTTCTCGTCAGAGACGGCTTCTCAGGAGAGACGGTTTCTCATGAGAGACGGCTTCTCATGAGAGGCCTATTACCAGAGACGCCTTCTCAAGACAGAAAACGATATACGGATTTAAACAAAGACTGTTTTAAGATGAGAAGCGTTTTGTTAGGAGACAATATTTCACGAAAGAATATGTTGCATGAGGGTTAAGAAATCATAAATTGTTTTGACTAGGAGGCCGGATCGGAAGCGTGATGTCTTGTCATGCAGATTCTTTATGAGAGTCGCCTTTTTACGAGAGACGTTTTTTTAAAAACTTGAGAAGCTGAATGAAGCGCCTGTCGCGCCCAGATCTGTTCTGAACAGATGTGGTAAAAATCGTCGAATTTAAGCCGCGTCGTTAGTGGTCCCGTTGTCGACACTGCGCTGTTGATAGTACGCTGTTGATTGTTGACAATGCTACTCACACGGTGCACTGTTGCTTGACAGTACGCTGTTGGTTCAGGCTGAGTTGCTTGAGGGTACGCTGTTGGTTGACACTATCCTGTTGACACTACGCTGCTGACACTACGGTATTGACATTGCTCTGTCGACAGTGCGTTCTTGATTGCGGACAATTCTACTCACACGGTGCACTGTTGCTTGGCAGTACGCTGTTGGTTCAGGCTGCATTCTTTGAGGCTACGCTGTTGGTTGACATTACGCTGTTGACACTACGCTGTTGGCACTACGCTGTTGACACTGCGCTGCTGACAGTATATTGCTGGCTGTTGACAATGCTACTCACACGGTGCACTATTGCTTGACAGTGTACTGTTGGTTCAAGCTACGTTGCTTAAGTACCGCTGTTGATTGACACCACGCTGTTGACACTACCCTGTTGACACTACGCTGCTGACACTGCGTTGTTGACAGTACGCTGTTGGCAGTTGACACTACTACGCCGTTGGTTGTTGACAATACTACTCACACGGTGCACCGTTGCTTGACACAACGCTGTTGGTTCAGGCTACGTTGCTCGTGGTTACGCATTTGGTTGACACTACGCTGTTGACACTACGCTGTTGACACTGCGCTGTTGATTGGTGACAATGCTACTCATGCGGTGCACTGTTGCTTGACATTACGCTGTTGGTTCAGGCTACGTTGCTTGAGATTACGCTGTTACTTGACAGTATACTTTTGGCACTACGCTGTTGACGCTGTTGCGGATGATCCCGACGATGCGAACAACGTAGTTTCAACAACGTAGTAATAATTCACCCTGCGCTACATAGTGTTAACAGCGTAGTCTTGCTTCACTGTTTGAACGTTTACTTCACTGTTAAGAGATGCATTGATCGCATCCAGGCGACACATTTCAACCCGCCCGAGGAGCAGGAGGTGCAGGGACACACTGAGGATGAGAAGTAAGCAGAGGAAGAGGAGGAAGAGAGGGAGCGGGAAGAGAAGGATGGACAGGACGGCCAGGAGGAGGACGACGACGAGGAGGGCGATGCAGCGGTGGTCGTGTTTCAGGGGGTTGCAGGAGCAGGTGCTGGTGGAGGAGGAAGTCCGTTGGCACGATAGGAAGAGGTATGAGAAGGGGGAGGAAGAGGAGGATGAGGCCGATGAGGAGGAGGAGGAGGAGGAGGAGGAGGAGGAGGAGGACGCGTCACCCGCGGTTCTCCGCCGAGACAGTGCAGCGGGGAATCCCCAGTCATCGCTGCTGCCTCCGATGTAATTTGTGGGGGGCCTCCTGGAAGCTCTCGTCGCCACGGCTGGACCCGCCTCGAGAATATGGTCGGGATGGACCCTGGGGATTTTGGGCGCGTTTGGGCTGGGGGGGAGAGCCGCCGTTGCCGCGGCAGGCCCTCCTCCGAGTATGCACACCGCGTGCTTGTTGTAGCACCCCGGATGCGGCATCACGCAGGTGCCCACCTTCTTTGTGACGCAGGGGAGGCGGTGTTTCGCGCACCTTTCGGTGGCAACTCATAGGAGCTCCTTGCGAATCGACGCGAACCGACGCTAGAACTCGGCGCCGAACGACGCGAAGTCGGCGCCACCTCCTCGATTCCCAGACGCTGATCGACGCCAGTGCGCCCTAGAGACGGAGCTGCGCGGGCACACGAGGCCCCCATGACTGGCAACCGAAGCACCTCGGCCACTCGCATGGGTCCGCCTCTCCGCCGTCCACCATGATCGGAGCCTCGGGCAGCTCGGCGAGCGTCACGATCCCGGCGGCCGCCGCGCCGAACACCGGCCGCGCCAGCAGCACCGCTGCGGGCAGCATCGCTGTCACGCCGCGCCGCGCCCCGCGGCGCGGGGACCGCGGCATGCGCACGTGCCGGGACCGCGCGGCGAAAACGCGGCGAGGCGCGAGCGCGGGTGCCACAGGAGGCCGTGGCGACTGGCGCGTCCCCGAGCCCAGACGGCTGCAGGTCAATGCTGCGATCGTGGAAGACGCGTCGCGTGAGCTCAGCCCGAATTGTGTCCCGCAGACGGGAGGGGCGTGTCTGGCGCAGGTGTCAAAAGCGTGCTTCTTCGTTGACAGCAGGGGGCTCGTCTCCGAAGGGCCGCAGCTAAGGCAAAGGTACCACAACGTCCAAGATTTTGGCCATACCTTGGCCCAACGTTTGGCCACAGAGGCGATTTCAAAAGGCAAGGGGAGGGTAGCTAATGGATCGGAGGCTGGGGAGTGAGAACGAAGTGACCCAACCAGGACATCTGTTCAAACCTCGTTTCGTGACGTACGAGGGAGGCGAAGCCACGCGAGGGCGACCATGTGTCGGCGCATCTGAAGGAGCAACTCGGGCGAGCAAACCCGCAATGCCGCGCGATTGCCCGCGCGGTTACCCACGGGGGTGTCCCGTGGATTGCTCGTGGGTTCCCCACGGGAAAACGTTACAAAATGCAATTTGGGGGGAAACCTTTCCTGGACGCCCGACATGTGTACGGACAGAAATGGGGTACGAAACCCAACAGCAAATTATGGCCAAAACCGACAGCGGCCGCTGTTGGGCAGGCGACTTATAATCTCGAATGCGCAACGCCCGCGGCGACACCGACAGCGAATCCTGTGCAAAATGGGCAGGAACCGCTGTTGGTTGTTGTGCCCATTACACCCAACCGGCGTTACAAGGATGAGCGGCTTTCCAAAGTTACCCAGCACACCACCCCAAGATGAGCGACATCCCAACAGGCATGCACATCGCACTACCATCGAAGTATAACCGACATGCAACTCGAAATGGATATCGGCATGTAACTATACTCGTGACCGGATTGCAACCGAACTGACCGTCAAAATGCGCACCCAATTGCAATTGATTTAAATTCCCCAAGCAATGCTTGCAATTCAAGGTTCTTCCTTCTGTTCTAAGGAATTGGGGTGGTGTGCCGGTCTGGCGGTCATGTTGCCGCAGTCGCCGCCCCGCTACCGCTCGTCATCTGGGCCAGTGCACGGCTCTGGGTGGGTAGCATCGACCCCTTGCCCCTATATATGGCCTTCGTGGAATCATCCAACATGCCGTGAGCAACGACATAATCAGCAGACCGGCCACACTGCCGCCGACGCCAGCGACCATATGCGAAGAGGCGCTGGCAGTGCGCGCCCAGGCGCCCCTGACCAGGCTAGCAGACCAATCGCAGCCGACTTCACAAAATCTTCGACGATGGTTGCCGCGCGAACTCCTGGGGTTTCGCACTGTTGCTGCGTGGACGCTGCTATTTTGTAGCTTTGCTCCCGCGCGTGGCCCCGCCGACACGGTTGCCATTGGTGGCGCAACGGCTGCGATACGCGCAACGTTTCTTTTACCCGTCCCAGAGGCGTGGGCCGACAGGCCTCGAGTCGTCTCGGGGTCCAGCGCGGCCCCAGATGATCCCAGCACAAAGTGGACCAAAATCGAGACACCACCCCGCCTACGGCCCGACGGTGTTGGAATTTCAAGCGCTTGCCCCGTGCAGCCTCGGCCTGGTATCACGAAGACCCCGCAGTGGCGTCGGGAAGCCACCGAAGAACAGCGAGGCATGTTCGCAAACATCCAACACGGCGCGCCGTAGGTGAGGTGGTGTCGTGTGCATCTTAGTCGATAAGTGCCAGAAAATGAGCACACTGATGACGGAATGCGCTCCAGGCCCGAGAAGCCCCGGGTCGCCTATGACCTGACCCCTGGGCGTGCCCCCAGGAGGCCCGTGATCACTGCGCGGCTGTCGTGCCCGTGCCGCGGCAGCTCGCGACGAGCTTCACGGATCCCAGCAACATTGTTGCGAGCTTTTCAACGGTATATTGTTCGGACGCGACGGCAGTTCAGGTCACTCCGCAGAGGGTCAAAGCGATGGTGGCAACTAAGCAAAACCTTGTGCAAAAAATCTTGTAAATCTTCCTCTCCTCCCTTGCGCTCCAATGCATGGCCCGACGCGGACGCTGGAGCAGGCCAGAACTCCCAGGATCCTCCCAGGATGCCGACAGCGCTCCTTCCACAGACCACACTCGCGGGCGAGCGAGGCCCCCCCCACGAGGCCTGCCGGGAGGCAGCGAGAACCTTCGCGGGAAGCCCAAGGGCCCCCAGGGGGGCTTTCAAGGGAAGCCCAGGAGGCATCTCAGGAGCTTCGAGGGTCTCCCCCAGGAAATCTCCAGGAGACCCGGGAAACTCTTCGGGGGGGCCCAGGGGCCCTCGGGAAACCCGCCTAGGCCTCCTAAACCACACCTGCATTACTACAAGAACCAGAAACGCACCTTCTACTGTGGGGCAAGGGCTCCTGCTTTCGCGTATGTATCGCAAAAGTGGACCCCAACCCGACAATGTTACAGGATCAATGTCTCACCTGGCCCGAAAGCCTCGCAAGGATCTCTCTGAAGCCCTGGAGACATTGCCCGAGGCATGAGAGAACTGTCTGGAGACCTGCGAAGCCTCTCGGGATGCCCAGGGGCCCCATCCGCAGCCCCAGAGGCCTTCTGACGACGTCCACGAGGCACTTCCCCGGAGAGCCCAATAAGCTCACGGGAGGTATGGGGGGGGGGGAGACGCCTCCCAGGCAGAGCTACAGAGGCGAGCGCCGCTGGTGCTGCTCTACGGCATAGCTCGGCCTCTGTCGGCAAGGAAGGCGCTCGGGCACGACTCGGACCCGTGGAGCGAGCGGCACTCGGACCCTGACGCGAGCAGCGAGGAGGAGGATGATGATGATGATGATGAGGAGGAGGAGGAGGAGGAGGAGGAGGAGGAGGAGGACCAGTGTAAACCCAAGAGTCATCAACGATGTTGGAATTAACGCTCCCTCCGAACTCCCTCTGCATAGGCATTGGCCCCTACAATTGTTCATTTCCATTGACGAAACATTGTTCTCGGGGTTTCCACGCCACGGATCAACCTGACTGCTGCGTCCTGACGATCTGGAATCGTGCCAGAACGCCACGTCTGGGACTTCAGCACCACGAATCAACATAACTGATGCGCCCACATAATCTTGAACCGTTCCAACACACCATTTCTGGTACGTTGATCATGGGGATCCGTGAAATTCTCGCGAATGCTCGAAACGAATGTGCGCGGCGCTAGGCGAGAGCCACATTTTGAAGAGGAACCGCCTTCAATCCTTGAAACTCTTACACATTCTTTAAAACAAATGTGCGCGGCGCAAACGAGAGCTACATCTTGAAAACGCCCTCAGATCGTGAAGCCCTAGCAAATGTTTAAAACGAATGTGCGCGGCGCGAAGACGAGAACCACATTTTGAAAACCACCCGCCGTCAATCCGTGAAGTTCTTGTGAATGTTTGAAAATGAATGTGCGCGGCGCTAAAGCGAAAACCACATGCTGTTAAGCTTCAGAGTCCAAGTTGTAAGGAAATCTCAAGCGAAACGCCCGGCCCGCCCTCAAAACTGGCCTCGGGGTGCGACAGGGAGAAGTTATTTCTAAGGAAAAGAAATGGAGGGGGAGGGGGAGGAGGAGGAGGAGGAGGAGGAGGAGGGGGAGGAACGGGAGGAGGGGAATAGGAGGAGGTGGAGGAGGAGAAGGAGGAGGAGGAGGAAGAGGGGGAGGAGGAGGAGGAGGAGGAGGAGGAGGAGGAGGAGGAGGAGGAGCAGGAGGAGGAGGAGGAGGAGGAAGAGGATGCTCGAGGAGGACGAGGAGGAGGAGGAGGAGGAGGACGAAGAGCGACGAAGAGCGACGAGGAGACTTAGCGGCAATATTGGCAACAGCAGAAAGATCATCCCGCCCAGACTCCAATGCCAAAAGTTGTCACTGCCGAGCGTCGGAGGCCGAGGTCGATCCTCAAAGAGACGTGATTGGCAAGCGTCGAAGGATACAGGCATCTCTGAGAACCCCCTCTGCGTGCCCTGGGCCACTGAATTGCTCACGAATATCCTCCACCCTCGGCGTGTAGGTCACTAGCATTGAAACGTCGTCGCCGGAGTCCCGAACACCGTTCAGCAAGTTCGTGAACCAACCGCCAGAACTCGGCATGCTGCCTCGCTCCCCACGCAAAGCTAAGCTCCTCGACCAGCTGTTCAGTTACGGAATCCTGATGGGCGCGTCGAATATGACGGAGCTTACGACTGCATCGTGCTAGCAACAAGCCCGACTCAAGATCACATGTGCCGCGCTCTCGTGCCAGTCGCCGATCATGGAGTAGCTGGCTACGAGCTCTATGATACTCGCCAACCTTTGAATCATGCGAGCTCGTCTTCGAGAAATACCGCTCCACCGCGACAGAGACTGCGGTCACCCACTGTGTCCATCCCGCGTCGGGGGAGCTATCGTGCAACATGAGATCGTGAAAATCAGAAGCAGCACCAAACTGAGCCTCCAGGTCAGCGAAAAGCTCAGGAACCCCGACTCCCTTCCTCAGCGCACTCGCCAAGCTGTCGAAGTCCCATCGCGCGGCGGCTACCTTCGCGAGCTGAGACCGAAGTCGTACCTGGACTCCACCAGGATCGGCACATGATCGGAGAGCCCACGTCGACTGCCGAGCTTGAGCCGAAGATTGGTGCGTCTCATCGCACCGAAGAATGTAATCGTCGGCGTCTGCCAGCTGAAGACCGCGACGTAGCCGATGCAGCTCGACGAGTGGGCTCCGAAGAAAGTGTCTCCGATGTTGTAGCACGTCGACGCGATGGCAACCGAATGCTTTGTCACACAGCTCTAGCATCTGGCTGGCCGCATATAGTGCTGATCCCCTCTGGCGAACGGCCCCAAGGAAAGAGAGCGAACCCAGTCGACGATGCCACCCTGTCGACGTCTCCGCCCGAACGAGTCATTCAGATCGACCCCCATCATCAGAGCGGACCGCTTCTTGGACCACGTGAAAGTTTTCTCCAGCCACTGGGTGAGGATATCCACCGTTGCCCGATACTGAAATGGCGCCGTTGCTGCCGTCGCCGCCTGCACGTGAGATTCTCGCCCTTCTCGCCTCGAGCTCGGACGAGGAAGGAAGTGCAACGTAGGAGTGAGCACGTCGAACCAGCCAGACCGAAGGCGAAACACTGCTGCGCGCCCCTGAAGAGAGACAGGGGCACAAGGTACCTCATACACATCACGCTGCTTGAACAGTCGCTCCGCAGCAGCAGCGCGATCACACAAGACTTGTTGACGTGTCTGCTCGCCACGTAGCCACATCTAACCACAAAGTGACACTTCAACTTCGAGAGTACGCCCGAACGATCAGGTGTCGCTCGTCCACCCGTACTTGTGAGTGCCACCGCGTCTGTGACTTGAAACTCCTCTGATAGATCGTGCAATCGTTCAATGTCTGCATACTGCGCGTTCCAGTGTACGAGTGTGAACAGACAAAAGATGCCAGCAGCCACACTCGGCCGCACGAAAGGCGAGAAACAACTCATCATACGAACATCTGGTGTAAAGAGTGGGCGAGACGGCGGCCTGGGGGCGGGGGGCCTGCCGTAGCGAATGGTGCCTGCGGCGTGCGCGGGGCCCGCCAACCCTGGAGCGGCAACTCCTGAGCAGAGGGGGGTTTGAGGAGGTGGAGGAGGAGGAGGTGGAGGAGGAGGAGGAGGACGAGGACGAGAAGGAGGAGGAAGAGGAGGAGGAGGAGGAGGGGGACGAGGAGGAGGAGGAGGAGGAGGAGGAGGTGGAGGAGGAGGAGGAGGGGGTGGAGGAGGAGGAGGAGTAGGCGGAGGAGGAGGCCGAGGACGAGAAGGAGGCTCTCCTTCAGTGCCCGTGCAGGCCTCCCGGCACGCGCGCGCCTCGGACCAGCCCCGCGAGCTTGGCACCCCGCCTCCCCCGCGGTGCCGGCGGCGTGCCCACGGGGCCGGAGGCAGAGGGGGCCCGGCCTCCTCGACGACGACAACGACGACGACCACGACGACGACGACGACGACGACGACGACGGCGACGACGACAGCGACGGCGGCGGCCTCAGCGGCGGCGACGGCGACGGCGGTGCCCGAGCGTTGACGTCGGCGGCAGCGGCGACCGCGATGACGGCGGCGGCGGCGGCCTCGGCGGCGGCGGGGGCCTCGGCGGCGGCGGGGGCCTCGGCGGCGGCGGCGGCGGCGGCGGCGACGACGACGACGAAGACGACGATGACGACGACGAAGACGACGACGAAGACGACGACGACGACGACGGCCTTCTCCGAATTCGCACGCGGCTTCCCACAAGGCGGGGGGGCGGGCTTCGGAGCAGCCTCGCCGCCTTCTGAGAAGGCACGTCTCTGTTCACTTCCCCCTTTTTTGAACGGGCTCTGGAACACATGAGTAAATACACACAAATAACAAAATCCCCCATACTTTCACATGTTTTCTGGGCTTCTGTCTTCCCTCCCACTTCCCCTCTTTTCGCACATCCTCCCGGGAACCGATGATTCGTTGTGTCTGTGTGCTTTCTCCCCTCCTGACTTTTGGCCTTCGGGTCATGCTCGGGTCTCCTATGGCCGTCCTCCTGGGAGGTCCCTAGATACTTTCTCGGGGATGGACAGACCTCCCTTTAGTGAAACGTGGTTCAGTGAAAACGACCTCGGGCCCAAACCTGGCGGGCGCAGGCCTGGAAAATGACGGCCGCGGCGCCCTCTCGAGAACCGACAACGGACAATTCCCCAATCGGCGTGTCGCTGCTAGGAGGAGGAGGAGGAGGAGGAGGAGGAGGAGGAGGAGGAGGAGGAGGAGGAGGAGGAGGAGGAAGGAGGAGGAGGGGGAGGAGGAGGAGGAGGAGGGAGGAGGAGGGGAGGAGGAGGAGGAGGAGGAGGAGGAGGAGGAGGAGGAGGAGGTCTGTCCACCCCCGACTTTCCCTTTTGGCCTCCGGGCCATGCTCGGGGCTCCCGCGGCCGCTCGGCACGATCCGGGCCCCCCCCGGGGGAGCGCTCCCGGCGAGAGGCGCACAGGCGCGGGAGCGCAGCCCGAGGCCGGCTAGAGGCGCGCGGAGGGCCGCCGAAGGCGCCCGAAGGACCGCAGCCCTCGAGGCGCCCTCGGCGAGGGCGCGGCCGCCAGAGAGCGCAGCCCGAGGCAGGCGAGAGGCGCGCGGGGGGGCGTCGGAGGCGCCCCGAGGCCGCAGGTCTCGAGGCGTGCCCCCCCCCCCCCTTCGGCGCGCCGCCTCTCCCCGCGTCTCCTGGCCTGCTCGGTAAGCCTGGCCCGGCCCTGGCAAAGTCAGGGCACTCTGGGGGGACGCACCGAGACATGCTGGTACCATCCGTCCTCCTTGGAGGCGCGCGTCCGACCCGAAGATACAGTACACCCATCTTGTAGTATATCGTTTCCCGAGCGGTGTGGCCAGAAGGCGCCCGCCACGACGCACGTACTATAAGATTTCTCGGTGCGCGTGTCGCCCTGGGGGGGGGCTGACCACACGCCGCACGGCTGACCACACACCTGGGCCTACCAATGTCAAGTGGGGGGGGACGTTCGGTCGGGGATCGACAGAACCCCCTTTAGTAAAACGTGGTTTAGTGAAAACGACCTCGGGCCCAAACCTGGCGGGTGTAAGCCTGAAAAATGACGGCCGCGGCGCCCTCTCGAGAACCGAAAACTGACAATTCACTAGTTAATCGACGCGTCAGGGTGGGGGTTATGTCCACCCCCGATGCGGGCACGTCGAGAAAGCACGGTGGAACCCGCACACACCCCAACCCGAACCTTTGATGGGTGGTCTGGGACCTTCGGGTTGGGTTGGGGTGGCTTGGCAAGGACTGGACGGCGCCCAAAGCCCCAGGAGCACTCCCAAGACGAACCCAAAGAGGGTACACACACAATGTCGGGGGCGCGCGAACATGGGTTAGCGATCCATGGATTTGGCGCGCGGTCGCCTGATCCATGGATCGGGAGAGGTGCCGTCCCCAAAATGCGGCCGGTGCCGCCTCGCTCGGCGGCGGAAATCCACGACTTCCCAAGGAAACGTGGCCCGTCGCTAATCCACGCCCCTTGATCCATGTTTGCGATCGCGTGACAATGATTCTCCCTAAACTTTTCGATGTGTGTCGGCGTTGTCGTCGTCGTCGTCCCCCGTCCGGGTCGGCGGCGCCGGCCGCAAGGCCTTCGCAGTCAAGTGAAGGGGCCCAGGGACGCACGCACACACACAAAAATAAATACACACTAATCCCAAGATTCCCAATATTCTTTACACATTTTCTGGATTATCGTCTTCCCCCCACTTCCCATAGCTTCCCATATTTTCCTGGGGATCGACGATTTATGTTCTGTTGCTCCCATCGGACCACATCCCATAAATAATTTCGAGCACCCGGAAAAGTGTCGAAACAGTGTCGAAACAGTGTCGAACGAGTGTCTCCTAGGACCCGACACGTGAAAACCTTAGGGTTTCGGTGCTATCGGAATTATTTCTGGTGACTCGGGCTAAAGTAGGCTGGGACATCATAATATTAATTGTGTCTGTGTTTTTTGCTCCTCCTGGTCCAAAGGGGAGTCTGGAGCGGGCGGCGCCGAGGCCTGGCTTATCTGTGTCCTGGTTAATCTGTGTCGTTTCCTTGGTTTGCTGTGTCCTGGTCTATCTGTGTCCTGGTCTCCAGGGGCCTTGTCGACCCCCTTCCGGGTCGACGGCGCCGACCGTAATTAGGGCCTTCGCAGTCAGAGGGAGTCTGGAGCAGGTGGTGCCGAGGCCCGCGCCCTCACGTCGACGTTCTGCAGGAAGTCCAGGGCGCGGTCGTCCATGGGGTACCTCGATAGGAAGGCACCAACTACACTTAGATCGGGCATGTCCCCCTGCAGGCGGATTTTGGGCGAGGGAAGAAAAAAATACTCCACAATAGTCGAACAATACTCAAAAAATCGTCCCCTGACTATTTTTTGACTATTCTTGAATATTCCTCCTGTAGAGAAGAACCCCAATCAGCGGACGGCTTGAACTGGAATCGACCTGGAACCGGGAACCCGGAACCAGCCCAAATCGGAGAAGCACCATAATGACCAGGAACCTGGGAACCCAAAACCAGGAACCCGGGAACCCAGCCGCCCATCAAAATCGGCGGGAAACTTGCGCCAAATCTTTCAACATCCGCTAGCACCCCTTCATGATTGGGGAACTATGCACCAACATCGATCCTGGCCAGGACCACCCTGGGTCCAGGATCGGCGCATACGCCCTCCTGCCATGGAAAGAACGCATATGGTTACACCGATCCTGTATCGGCGATGCGTGGCAGAACTTCCCAAGGCGAAGCGCTCGGTGAATTAAAAATATGGCTTCGTTACTTGTGTGTGTGTGCGTGTGTGTGTGTGTGTGCAGGTGTGTCGGGCGGCGAAGAAGTGGGCCACCTCGGCAAAGGAGGAGGAAGAGGAAGATCGAGGAAGAGGGGGAGAGAGAGGAGGCGGAGGAGCAGGAGGAGCAGGAGGAATACCGAGGAGGAGGAGGAGGAGGAGGAGGAGGAGGAGGAGGAGGAGGAGGAGGAGGAGGAGGAGGAGGAGGAGGAGGAGGAGGAGGAGGAGGAGGAGGAGGAGGAGGAGGAGGATGGAGGAGGAGGAATATCGAGGAGGAGGAGGAGGAATATCGAGGACGACGGGGATCGGTGTGGGTGTATAGTCGGTGCCCTCCGGTACCTCGCGCGGAAGCTCTCCAGGTCGGGCGGCGCAGCGAGCGGGTCCACCTCCTGGCCGCGGCTGCCCAGGGGAGCCGCGGGGCGGCGGGGCGGCGAGGCGGGCAGCTCGGCTGGTGCGCGCCATCGCTCGGACGTCCATGCCAGCGTCTTCTTGTTCGGCGTTTCGACATTGGGCGGAAGATGGGCGGCAGGGGGGGGGGTCTGGCTCCGGACCTCTGCCTAGTGCGGCTGTTTGGAACCGTGCGGCCTCTGGGGGCGACTCCACCCGCTCGAAACAGGCGCCCCAAAACAGCCAAGATCTGCTCCATGGGGGGGGGAGGGGGGGCCCGCGCCGATCGGCAAAAGAATTGATAACAAACGCTCGCCGTCCCAAGTGCAATTTACGGCTTCGTGCGCTTATTGTGTCGCAAGGTGATCGAGAAACGATGTCAGATGGTCCTCGCCGAGGAGAAAAAAAGTGCACACGCCCGAACTCGACAAGCGCGTTCCACTTCTCGCAAAGCAGCTGCTCGCAAACTGCCCGGATGCGCCGCGGGGGACTCACGATACATGTCAGAAGAGGAAGACGTATTTTTTCCGGACGTGTGCGAGTAGGCACGTTGCGAGTAGTGGAACTCGCTCGGTGACGAGCGATGCCAAGCGCCCTGGCGGCCCCCACCATCCCCGATCCCCATCCTCCCCATCCGCCTACTCCTCCTGAGACAACGGACCAACTCATCCACCTCCTCCTCCTCCTCCTCCTCCTCCTCCTCCTCCTCCTCGTCTCCTCCTCCTCCTCCTCCTCCTCCTCCTCCTCCTCCTCCTCCTCCTCCTCCTCCTCCTCCCCCCCTCCCCCTCCTCCTCCTCCTCCTCCTCCTCCTCCTCCTCCTCCTCCTCCTCCTCCTCCTCCTCCTCCTCCTCCTCCTGCTGGAGGCGCACGCCCGACCCGACAGCGCCGCCCCGCCGCACATCTTGCAGTGGGACCGCTCCCGGGGCGCCGTGGCCCGCAAGCGCCCGCCACGAAGCTCGCGCCGGGAGACGCCCGAGCCTCTCCACGGGGCACACGAGCCCTCCCCATGGGAGGCCCTGCAGGAGGCCCCCGGAGGCCCCAGAGGAGGCCGCGCGAGGCCCCGGGACCAGAGGCCACGGGAAGCCCCCGGAGGCCACGGGAGGCCCCATGGGAGGCCCCATCCGGAGGCTTCCGGAGAGCGCGCGCGTCGCCCTCTCGCGGCCGACGCACGCGCGTGAGCGTCTTCTTGTTTGGCGTTCCGGCACTGGGCGGAGGGGGGGGAGGAGAAGATAAGCGTAGCGACGCTCGCAGACCTCCCTCGAGATCAGGGCGTGGCAATTCCTCCTCCTCCTCCTCCTCCTCCTCCTCCTCCTCCTCCTCCTCCTCCTCCTCCTCCTCCTCCTCCCACTCGGGGGCCTGGCCCTGGACCTCTGCTTCGCGCGGCTGCTTGGAGCCCTGCGTCCTAGGGGGGCGAGGCCCTCTCTCTCCTGCTCGGCACCCCGCGCAAGGCGTGCCCAGGCCCCTTTGGGTACATGGCACGCCGTGGCGCACCCCGCCGCGAGCATCGCACACCAGGGCGGTTCCCAATCGACGTCCGTCGTATGGCGACCTCTGCCTGGGCTGAGTCTCGGGTGCTGCTAATACAAGGGGGGGCGTTGACCCAAGCCCCTTTTCTCCACAAGTTCAACTCCGATGTCCCATCGAAAACCTCGGGAAACCCTGAGGCAAGCTGTTAAACAATCCAGGAACACCGAGCCCCTCCCCAACCAAAAGGGTTCCTTCCTCAGCGCCCCGACTGTATGGTGGGGGGGGGGGCGGGAGTGAACGGCGCAGCTTGTGGCGTTCCCCTGGGTCTGGAAGAAGGGGTTCGCGAGGTGTCAGACTGTCCTTCCTTTTTGGCCCAGGACGGCCAAAGTCAATTCACGAGAGCCCCAAGATTGCTCAAGAGAGCCCAAGCTAGCTCATGACGACCTCTGATCTGCGTCCAAGACGCTCCAAGACCGCCCACAGACGGCTCCAAGTGGCCATGGAGTATTCCAAGCACGCCACTGAGATGCCAAAATCATCAACAGCCAATGGGCATACGCACACTCATGCTTGCAATCTCCCCTCTAGGCTCCCGACTGCCACTTGAAGGCTGTTTCCATGATCGCGGCAGAGCAGGGGGTCTCAAGAGAGCTCCAAGACGGCCCTAAGAGCGCCCAAGAGCGCCCCCCAAGATGGTCCCAATGTGCGATTTTTCTATCTCCGCCAGGGAGGGGTGTGGGGAAAGAGGGAGGAGGAAGAGGAGGAGGAGGAGGAGGAGGAGGAGGAGGAGGAGGAGGAGGAGGAGGAGGAGGAGGAAGAGGAGGAGGCGGGGGGGGGGGGGGCGTCCCCCCCGGACCCCAAGAACACCACATTGGCGGGCAAGCTTACCGAAGGGGCCTCACCGTGGCTTCCGCTCTGCGGGCTCGCTAGTGAAAGCAAGGCCTCGGCAATTCGTGCCGAAGACGTGCGAGCGGCCTGGGAGAACGAGAACCGCTCGAACGAGGGACGGCCCCTGAGATCCTGGCACTGCTATTTTTTTGCTACTGGCGTTTTCGCTCCATGTCGGCCCAGGGACCCTCGCGGATCGATCCGGCTCGAAAAACGACGCAGAACGACGAGGTCCAGGGCTCTGGTCGTGATTTTTGGCGATGGTGCATTTGTTTTGCAGCCGCGGATCTCAGGGGCGCCTGTAGAGGCTGCCAGATCTGGTCCGAGCAGACGAGGTCGGATGATCGCGCCGCATCGCGGACGCATCGGTCGGCGATGCGGCTCGATGTGGAGCCTCATTCCTCCGCGCCGACGTAGCGGATGCACCGCCGACGAGGCCGGTGCATCGCCGATGCATTGGCGAGGCGGCGCGATCCTCCGACCACGTCTGCTCGGGCGTAACGGGGAAACCAAGCAGCTCGAGACTGGTGCATCGCCGATGCATTGGCGAGGCGGCGCGATCCTCCGACCACGTCTGCTCGGGCGTAGCGGGGAAACCAAGCAGCTACTCCCTGGACCTCTCCCGGGGTGCGTTCTGACCAGAACCTCGAGGCGAATCCAGCTGTGGCGACGAGGGCCTCCCAGGAGGCCCAACAAAGGGAACACGAGAGAAAGGGTAGAGTCTAGAGGTATGGGTACCTCTTCCTCCTCGGAAGAACAGCGCCCCGCATCCGCGGGGTCGCGGCCGAGGGGCCCGGCGGCCCGCGGGGCTGCGGTCAGTAGGGGCCCGACCACAAGAAACCTTCCACAAGAAACCCAACCCGGAGACCCCAGGACGTCCATCGATTCTCGTGGGGACGTCACGCCTGCCGAGGCAAAACCCTCGAAACCTCAGAGACCCAGGGCACCCTGGAGGCAGGCAGGGTGTTTCTTGGCATATGCGCTCTGCTCGCCCGCAGCTCGGAGCCCGAGCGGCCCCCGAGCGAGCGGCGGGCGCCGCTCCTCGAAGGCCCAGGCCATGTTCGGCGTCACCATCGGCCGGAAGCCAGCGTCCGCGCGGGTCACCACCTGGTGCGCATGGGCGATTCCGGGAACCCTGAACTTATGCTTAGGGGATCAAGAAGTGGCATAAGCATGATTATCCCGGCAAAGTAACCTAACAGCGATGTGTATAAGCATATCTGGAAGCATTCCCCTTAAGATTCAGGTGAGAATCCAGTTGTAGAATTCTGCTGTTCTCGCAGTCGCAGCCTCAGCCTGCCTCGGCTTGCCTCGGCCTCAGCCTCAGCCTGCCTCGGCCTCAGCCTCAGCCTCAGCCTGCCTCAGCCTCAGCCTGCTCAGCCTCAGCCTCAGCCTCAGCCTGCCTCAGCTCAGCATCAGCCTCAGCCTCAGCCTCAGCCTCAGCCTGCCTCAGCCTCAGCCTCAGCCTCTCAGCCTCAGCCTGCATCAGCCTCAGCCTCAGCCTCAGCCTGCCTCAGCCTCAGTCTCAGCCTGCCTCAGCCTCAGCCTGCCTCAGCCTCAGCCTCACAGTTGGCTCCGGGCAATCAAAATACTATACAGGAATGGTGTTCTGGGAACACGAAGAACACGAAGTGGCCTACAGTTGGCTCTGGGCATTCAAAATGTGTCCTGGGAATGGTGTTCTGGGAACACGAAGAACACGAAGTCGCCTACAAGTGGCTCCGGGCATTCAAAATGTGGCCTGGGAGTTGTGTTCTGGGAACACGAAGAACACGAAGTGGCCTACAGTTGGCTCTGGGCATTCAAAATGTGGCCTGGGAATTGTGTTCTGGGAACACGAAGAACACGAAGTGGCCTACATTGGCTCCGGGCATTCAAAATGTGGATGGTGTTCTGGGAACACGAAGAACACGAAGTGGCCTACAATTGGCTCTGGGCATTCAAAATGTGGCCTGGGAATTGTGTTCTGGAGACACGAAGAACACGAAGTGGCCTACAATTGGCTCCGGGCATTCAAAATGTGGCCTGGGAATGGTGTTCTGGGAACACGAGGAACACGACGTGGCCTACAGTTGGCTCCGGGCATTCAAAATGTGGCCTGGGAATGGTGTTCTGGGAATGGATTCCTAAAGATTCTTAAGAATTCCTAAGGATTCCTGGGGCTGCCGGTTTGGTCCGGTTTTGTCCGGATCCCGCCCATACCCCCCTGGGGCGTCAAGATGCTCTCTTTTGACCCCACTAGAAACCTATCAGTCTTCGCTGTTAGGTAAAAACTCGGAGGTCCGCGCGGATTTCTCCCCCGGCGGCGCCTCCAGCGCCGCCCCTGGCGCGCTCCGCGCGCCAGGGAGGGGGGTCCAGCGCCGATCCGAGAAATCCGCGCGGACCTCCGAGTTTTTATGTTTATGCCACTTTTTGTTCCCCTGCTTAAGGACCACATCCCAGAAGCAATGTCGAGCACCTGGGAAAGAGGGCCCGACACGTGAAAAACCTGGAGTTTCGGTACTTTTTTGGTGCTCGAAATTCTTTCTGGCGATTCGGGCTAAAGTAGGTTGGAACATCCTAACCCTGAATCCGAAAACGTGTTCATCTCTTGCTGGCGCACCCTTCACTTCCGCCGCCTTCCGCCGAGCTTCCGCCGCCCTTCGCCGGCGGATGCGGCCTCGTTTTACTTCCGCCGACCTTCCGCCGCCCTTCCGCCGAGGAAGAGACGGCAACTCCTTCAATCCTCGAAGGCGAGGCCCTTTTCGAGACGCCTCACTTGTCTTCGGGGCCCCGATGCCGTGTGTCGCGGGCTGCTAGAAGGTGCCCCTGGCCTAAGGTGCCTCCAGCTTGTCGCTCCACTCTGGGGCCCTGGGGCCTTCTGGGCCTCGTGAGGGGTGCTCCTCCTCCTCCTCCTCCTCCTCCTCCTCCTCCTCCTCCTCCTCCTCCTCCTCCTCTCCTCTCCTCCCTCCTCCTCCTCCTCCTCCTCCTCCTCCTCCTCCTCTTCATCTCCCTCCTCCTCCTCCTCCTCCTCCTCAACCCTCCTCCTCCTCCTCCTCCTCCTCCTCCTCCTCATCTCCTCCTCCTCCTCCTCCTCGTCTCCTCCTCCTTCTCTCCTCCTCCTCCTCCTCCTCCTCCTCCTCCTCCCCTCCTCCTCCCTCCTCCTCCCTCCTCCTCCTCCTCCTCCTCCTCCTCCTCCTCCTCCTCCTCCTCCTCCAGACCGCGCGGTGACCTCGAAATCCCAGGAGACCTCACCGCGCGGCCCGCCACCGCACGGCTCTGGGGACCTCGGAGGCCCCAGTCGCTCCCCGCCGGCTCATCACGCGGTGTGGTCCCCACATCTTGTGGAAAGCCCCCCGTGGTTCGTCTGGCGGAGCGAGCGGGGCACGAGGACGGAGCAAGCGCTCTTGCGACCGTCATCGCATGCGAGCCGTTGCGCAAGGTTTTGCCGGCGAGCGCCGCGGTCCTGACATCTGCGCGGACCGCACGTGCGATTGGACCCTTTCCTGGCAGCGTGCGTATCGCCTTCTCCGAGCCGTCGCGGCAGCAGGCAGTGCTGAAACAGTACTCGCTCGGGCTGCATATCAAGTTGGTCACAGAAAATGGCGAGCGACACCTGTCAGCAGCATTGCGCGATTGCCATGTCTCATCAGTACCCATTGATTGATCTACATAGTCTACCCATCCTTCTATCTCTCTCTCTCTCTCTCTGCCTCTCTCCTATACCCTCCCAGGCCGTGACTCTGATCTCCCTGTCCTCTCTTCATCTCCCTCTTCGTTAAGAGCATGTCGCCCGCCTCGCACCATCACATGCCGTCTCCAAAACGGGCTGGGCGTTTTGGCTGAGGCTCCCCTACTGCTTTTGATTCTGAAACTCGAAATGTCCTACAACACTGTCTGCTCTTCCTCATCTCCCCTGCTCCGTTTGTCTCCTCTGGGTCTTCCTCCTCCTCCTCCTCCTCCTCCTCCTCCTCCTCCTCCTCTCCTTTTCCTCCTCCTCCTCCTCCTCCTCCTCCTCCTCATTCTTGTCTTTGTCCTCTTCCTCGTCCATCTCTGCGTCCTGCTCGTCGCCGTCGCCTCCTCCCCCCAGGACACGGCACGGCAGCGCCAACCCCAAGACGATGCGACATGACACGACGCGCGAGCAGGCTGCCATGCTGAGCGCACACCTGGCCTCCTCCTCCTCCTCCTCCTCCTCTTCCTCCCTCCTCCGCCTCCTCCTCCTCCTCCATCCACCTCCTCCTCTCCTCCTCCTCCTCCCCCTCCTCCTCCGCCTCCTCCTCCTCCCTCCTCCTCCTCCTCCTCCTCCTCCTCCCTTCCCCTCCTCCTCCTCCTCCTCCTCACTCCTCCTCCTCCTCCTCCTCCTCCTCCTCTCTTCCTCCTCCTCCTCCTCCTCCTCCTCTTCCTCCTCTTCCTCCCTCCTCCCTTCTCCTCCTCCTCCTCCTCCTCCTCCTCCTCCTCCTCCTCCTAGCGCCCAGGGGAGCGAACACCTGATGCAAAGGACCTCTTGCCTGACCTTCAGAAAACCTCTTCGAATTCGCGACGCCGGGGGAAGCCACAAGCCCATCCCACGCAGAGAGCCTCTTGATCTTGCACGACGTGCAAGTTGGGACCTCTCCGAATTCGCGACGTCGCGGGGAATCATCCCACCCCCGTGCAGAGAACGTCTCCGCCTCGCGACGCCGCCCGTGAGCTGGATCCCTCGGCCCGACGCCTACCCCAGGGCGGCTGGAAAATCTGCACCCCCGCGGCTGGAGAGGGCACCGATTTCACAGCAGCCCCGGGACAGGCATCCCCCACGGCGCAGCAATGCATGTTCGGTGGGGGAAGGACAGAAGACCCTTCAGCAAACACCCTTTCGAAAAAATAACCCGCGACCGGAACCGCAAGAATTGTGGCGCAGGCCCGCAGAAACTGCGGCGGCAGCGCCCTCGCGAAAACGGGGAAAGAGCAATTCGCCAGTCGACTTGGCAGGCTGGAGTTCTGCCAACCTCCCGGGCACTAGGTACGGCTGGGTCGTGTGGTGACGACCCTGGCCTTGGCTCCTGACACCGCCTGGATCGTCCAAGCTGGAACGACCAGCGGCTTCCCGATCGCCAGATCGCTCCATACCTCGTCGGCCGAGTCTGGGCCTCCGGCAGCGTTCCGCGGCGGGGTCGCCACCGCATCGGCACGACACGAATCTGGCGTACCTTCCTTCGGTCCGGAGGCGGAGGAGGAGGAGGAGGAGGATGAGGCAGAGGACGCGGAGGAGGAGAAAGAGGAGGAGGAGGCGGAGGCGGAGGAGGAGGAGGAGGCAGTTGAGGAGGAGGAGGAGGAGGAGGAGGAGGAGGAGGAGGAGGCAGTTGAGGAGGAGGAGGAGCTGGATGTTCCCCTTCGCCTCGCGACGCGACCGCAGGGGCTCCAGCCCGTCGACGGCCCTCCCCGCCCGGCCCCACGAGGGGCCGGGCGGCCCAGGACGGCTCCAGAGCGGCCCAAGACGACGGCCCAGCGACAACCCCAGAGAGGCCCAGCGACGGCCCAGGAACCTCCCAGAGGTGGCTCCTGAGGCCCTTCGGCACGACCAGACGGCCCCAAGACGACTCCAGAACGGCCCAGCGACGACCCAACGACGACTCCAGAGAGGCCCAGCGACGGCCCAAGGACCTCCCAGAGATGGCTCCTGAGGCCCCACGGCACGACCAGACGGCCCCAAGATGGCGCTAATTACCTCTGTCGCCTCGTCGGGAGGGCTCT